TGGAAGGAAGGTATATTCCCTTCATGTTTAAAAACTATGTCTGGATCTAAAGTTTCTTGACCTGAAAATGATGGTGCTCACCCACCTTGAATCCTGGATAATTGAGAAGAAATCATAGGCAGCATAAGTCCACTTCTGTACTCCAAGTCAAGATCTTTGCAAAACTAAGTTGCCAAACTCTAGTAAATGTAAAATTCTAGCAAGGATTTGTGTGTTCATCTATTGCGATGCCCTCCTCCCCACCACTTCAAATGCTTGTAATGTGGTCAGATTTAGGAGAGATTTTTTTCTCTTAAGAAGAAGAGAATCCAGTTCCATATCCTAGGCCAACCCTGTTCAAGCTCCACCTTGCAAGCAGAAATACTCTTCTATTTCTTAACTGAAAGACTGTAAGATTGTTTTTTAAATGGGCCAAAACTATGTTTCCTGTACTTCTTTTTAGAAATAACTGAAAATATTTTGTGACATTAGCAGTGTACTGAAGCTGTGCCTTTTGGACAAAGTTCTGCAAAAAACAGAAGTGAGACCAGTCATTTCAGTGAGACCATTCCCCTTGTAAAACTAAGTGGTGGGCACCAACAAATTTACCAAATCCATCTTTGTTAAAGCATTGTCAACTCTGGCTATAGTTCTTTATTTTGTAGAGAAAAATGCAGCCAGTGTAGATGGCAATTTCTGGTGAACTTTACTTTTTTTCTGAGATTATTCCAGAAAATTTGAAAGAAATTCAGTCCTGTAGAGAATCAGTTTGTAGCTAATGTTCAAACACTGATTAAGATATTTTTTGTTTACATCCTGTGCTTTGTGATAGAGTAAGATATGTAAGTAGGATGTTGTCTATCAAAGCATGAAGGCAGCTGTGGATTTTTACTTTGTGCATTTCTTTGCAACACTGATCTATAATCAGCACATGGCAGTCTCACAATAATCAGGCCTGTAAAGAGCACCAGCTTCATATGCTTACTTGTTTTACCATAAAACCCCAGGAATTCTGAGTGAGTTTGTTTGATAGATATGTGTTGGGGTTTTTTTTTAAGTAATATGTTTTCTTGATGGAAATGATATATTATCAAATAAAACTTTTCCATGTTTTTACAGAAGAATGTATTTTCAAAACAATTCCATATCACTTTGCATTTAAGTTAGTCATTCATGTGCAAGGAGCTACTTGAATGTTTATTGCAGCTGTGAGTAAAATATAGGCAAAATATGTATGCTTTTTCGAGAAAAAAGTTTCTTCTTGTATTCTACAGGTATAATAACAAAGCTGATTAATTATCTAGGACTGATTGGTTTCAGTGTCGTGTAATATCAGTTTTATTTTATCAATTTATTCTTAGTACTGAATATAATTGAATATAATAGACTATATAGAGGCTAGTTAGATGTTGAATCAGTAGGTAACAAACTAAACCTAGTGTGTAATTTTCCATGTGTGTCATTTTCCATATGCGTCTATGTAAATTTGCATGTATATAGTTAGTGTATTGATGGCTCTATGCTTCATAATATAAAATATATTGAAGTGGGTCTATTGTGGAATGCAACCTCTATACAAATTTATGCATATTGTATAAATAACTACAATTCTTAATTATGGAATATATAAGGAACCCTAACCCAACCAACCAAAAAGCCAGAACCTAACCCAACCAACCAACCAAAAACCACCTACCAAAAGTAAATGGACTAGAACAAATTAAATTCCTAAGCACAGAAATGTCACAGCTGCTAGATGAGAAAAATTGCATTTTAAACAGTTACTAAATTTAAACCATTGAAATTTGTTCGATTGCTGGTTGACAAACTAGATCTCAAGGAAGTTATGTAGGTTTTGTTTTCTTTTATTTTGCTTTTGGTTATCTTTGACAATTGATTGCATATAGCAACTAACAATTCATTGCTGTTCGTTGTATAAGTCTCAGCATCCCAGTGAACATGCATATTCAAGATATATTCAAGTAAACAGATGTAATACTATATAAGAAAAGTGATGATCAAGGCTAAATGGCTCTGGAACCATGTGTGTTTAAAAACTAAGGGAAGAGCCAAATGAGGAAAAAAGAATTTTAGAATACCAGAATTTGTGTGAGAGAAGACTCAAGAAAACAGAATACTGCTGAGACATGCTCTGCACTTTCATGATAGCAAAACAACTCCATAAAACTCGTTTCTATTAGGAACTACAGGCCAGAAAAACAATTTCAGACCTCAGGTGGAATGATCTTTCTTCAGCAAAAACACTAAAATACTGAGTCATCTTAACAACGAGTACTTGTCTTATTTGCAGGTTGCATAGATTCCTCTAATTCTTTATGCTCGGTCCACTTGCACTTGAATGATATACTCTTTATAAAATCTGCTGCAAAATATTCTGAAATACACTATTATTGACAATTTTTAGAAGCTCTATTGAAGTTTTTCATTCTAAATAGCAAATATATAGCATGTTAAATGCTGTAGCACAAATTGGAAATTTAGGGGAATAACATATAACATCGATGTTGAATGCTGCATACAGTTCTTACTTAAGATGTTTTCAGGGCTTGTATTTTGGAATTACTGCATTTAATGGTTTAATTTCATTATACTAGAAACCCTTGCCCTTTTATACACGTAGGTTTCAAAGGAAAATAATTCATTTATTTGAGTAATTCTCATTTAAAGTAAGTTTTTATGTATGTTCATAAAATTGTTGAACAGGTTGGGTTGGAAGGGATCCTGAAGATCGTCTAGTTCCATCCCTCTGCCATGGACCTAGTAGACCAGGTTTCTGAGGGCCCCATCCAACCTGACCTTGAACACTTCAAAGGATGGGGCATCCATAGTTCCTCTGGGAAACCTGTTCCATTGTATATCTAATCTAAACCTATCTTCTTTCAGTTTGAAGCCATTGCCCCTTGTACTATCTCTACATGTCCTTGTAAAAAGTCTGAAGGCATAATTTTATATTTCAGAAAACTATGATTACAATAGAGATTATGTATATGTCTCTGTGGAATGATGAGTACTTTAATGTAATAGGGAGAATAAATACAATTTGAGCTATATAGAAGTAATTTAAAGTAATCTGCTGATAAGTGCAATTTAGGTGACGTATCTCAATTTAATCCTAAATCTCAGTGTTATAAATTCATGTTTTAGTATTTTATTATTTTTTAATCTCTGAAATATGTATGTTCAAAGATTGACACAGGAACCAGTTGATGAAAAATGTTTTAAACATCTTTATTTCTATCTTACATATGTTCTGATTTTTTTCCCAAAAAATAGATATGATTCTGATGTAAATATTTAAAAATTCATGAACAGAGGAATGTAGTAATGGGTGCTTAATTGTATTGTTAATATTTTGCAATTTATTACTCTGAAGATTAAAAAGCGGAAATGTTTTTACTAATGAACTTGAAAGCTGAAAATTTCAGAGAGGATTTTAGAGAAATGGAAGTAGAAGCAACAGGGGAAAAGAAAATTAATTTTCTAAGCATTAATTATCTAATTCTGTCTACCTCCTACTTGACTAAACATCTTAGAATTGTTTGCAGACATTTCTTGGATCACTATTCTGTACTGTTAAAAATGCTATTGATTGTTATACAAAGCTAGGTAAGAAAAACTCATATAAGAAAAACTATAACTGTTGATTAATGTCAATTATAATAGTTGTTCATTTTAGTAGTAGTAAGTAGGCAGTGGAGGGTCACCTAAAAGAACACACTTGCAAAATCACACAAGGGAATGCTTTGGAATTCCCTTTTAAAGGGTGTGTCACTTAGTTCCTTTGGTGAAAATGACTTTGTCACTCCCAGCTTTTATTTCAAGTGCCCAAGCTGTGGTACTGTCATAGTATTGCAGTTTCATAAGGGGACTGCAAATAGCAGTGCTGCTTTTAGAACATAATTATTCAAGTGATCTCAGAGTTCAGTACAGGCGGCTCTTGTGTATCTGCTTTGATAATAATAATTGACACCAGTATAACACTATAGCTGGAGGGGGCACAGACATATCATATCGCTTTTGTTTTACCAGCTTCCACCCCCTGAAAAACTTCTAAGGTAGTGTCTTTTGGTGAACAGTTACATGCCTGCATAAAAATAAGTGTCCTATACGCTAGTCTCCAAGTGGTCTTTTTCTTAGTTAGTGGACAAGTTTTGGAAAATATTTTTTTTAAATTCTGTATATACCTTTTATGCAGTCAAACACTGAAAATAATCTGTTTTGGCTTGCTTATATCAGATTTAGTGTCACATATTAAGAAGTGAAAAAGGACTTGGCACTTTAGAACTACTTGTGTGTTTGGCATTGTATCGTGCAAAAATTTGTAAAAGAGCTTTTAGAATAATCAGGACAACTAAGCAATAGGGCTGTTTCATGCCACTTATTCTTGGAGTATATCTTTTGAGGACCACAGTCTTGTGACTTATTTGAACTGTCACTTGAAAAATACCTCTTAGATCTTTGGTTGTAGTCAGAGGTTTCTGAGTACTTTTTTACACAAGACTTTAACAGGGGAATTGTGTTGATAGCTTAAATGTGTTGATGTGCTAAAATAATAATTTGTTTATATTTAGTTTATAATTGTTTATATTTAGTTTCTGGTTTTGTTCTGTTTAGTTTCTGTTAGGTTTTTTTTGCAAAATCACAGGAAAAGTTTTTTTTACTGTAAACATTAAACATATTTTGCTCAGTAAAAGTGAGTAACAGTATACTTACAGTTTGTTTTATGCATATAAAGCAACAGAAGGACACAATACTTGAAAAAGCCTTGGAGACAGTATAAGTAGTCTTTGCATTTTCATATGGTCTTGAATATATATCTATATAGAAAGATCTGCTTACATATACATCAAAAGAATCTCTGTATATGCACATGATATCAATTATAGGAGTATAATGTGTTAATTTTCAATGGATTCCATGTTACAGAATTTGGTAGCTTTATAGTCTGTATGTAACTTCCAAATATTTACTTTTTTTCCTTGTACTCTGTCTTCTGACAGGATGATGAAGTAGTACTTCAGTGTGTTGCCAGTATTCACAAAGAACAAAGGAAGTTTTGCTTGGCAGCTGAGGGACTTGGGAATCGCCTGTGCTTTTTGGAACCAACATCAGAAGCTAAAGTAAGAAGTTGATACTCTCAACTGGTGTAACTGATAAGTGAACGTTAACCTACTTATCCACAAACATGTTTAATTATGGTTTCTTGAGTGTGGTGCTAGATGCACCTTACGTATGCTTTTCTTTCTGACTTCAACATGAGACTTCTTAGAGATTCCAAATATACTTTGTGGTACACCTGTGAACAGTCAAAAGCTGCCATTCTTTAACTATCTAAGAGAAGAATATTAATAATAAATCAAACAGAAAAGGACCTACTCCTTCTCTTTTGTTCTCTCTGCAACTTTTTCTTTTTCTTGAATTGTCTTTATTTCTTTTCTTTTCTTTCTAATAATTTATTTTTCCTTCTGGATATTTAGTGGAGGTTTTTGTGTCTTTTTTCTGGAAATGGTGCTATGTGGTCTTACTTTTACTCTGGATATTATGACCATGTTATACTCACAGTATTTATTTATGCAGTATGAGAATTTCTTGTTCATCTCTAAGGTGAAAAATTATGCAGCTTCTAAATTTACTTTTTTTTGCATTCCAAGAATTCAGTCAGATAATTTCTCTCTCATGTATTTTACAAATCACCAGTAATCTTTGTGTATGCTTGAGTAAAACCAGCTATATTTCATATATGTATGTTCAATTATTGTCCTAAAATCTTCAACAGTGATCGGGAACTTTTTATTAATTGATAACTCAATTGCAATGTGGTCTGTCTATTACTGGTGATGACCACCTCAATCTGTAAGACAACATGTTGCTTATCTTATTATAAGAAAAGGAAGAATGGTGTGCCTTACTGTAGGGTGCCATAGATCTCCTTTACTTTTTGTAAGTGTCTTAGTAGCAGATAATACTACAGAAGCTTCCGAAGTTTGATTAAAAATAAGAGATTCAGAAAACTTGTATGTAACTGCTTTAAAAAAAGCTTAACAAGGAGCTTTCTGAACTGCTGGTCTTGACTGAGAACAGGAAGAATTTTGGGAAAAGGCATGTAGATACATTTGTTCAAAAAATAAGAAGTGTTGAAGGTTTACGTGGATGATTAGAGAGTATGATACTTATCAACACCCTTAGCAATGATACTTTCATTTACATTTGGACAAAATTTTGTTTCAGAAATAAGAAAGAGAAAACCAAAATGGTACATATCCAGTGGACAAAAAAATTGTTATTGAATAGATGTGTTCCAAATAAGATACTACAGGGTTCTGTTCTTACTGCTAAGCTGTTGGATATTTTTGTCAATTAAGACAGTGTTTAAATTGACATATGCAATTTTTCAAGATGATAAAAATTTAGGAGAACTGGGAATTGATGATGCCACACAGAGAAAGATCTCCAGTCTTGTATATTAATAGAAACTAGAGGTACATTTTGTGCTGCCAAAGTCTAATAACTGTGTAAATATGCTTACAAAATGGGAAACTATTCTCATCCCCTTTACAGATGTTAGGCAGTTGTAAGTTTCCTGTGTTGATGTGCTGAAGGGATCTAACATTTTTTTAGCAGTATATTAAAAAAAAAAACTTGGTAAGAGAAGGGAATTTATATTTCTTGGGCTTTTTACACTGCAGACCAGAAGCTGTGGGGAAACATTTGGTTAGTGAGCATATCATCTGAAGAATTTAATGTTATAATAGTGCCTGAAGGAATCTAGAAGACTGAATTCAGAACAATTAGATATATTAAGTGTTATGACTGTGTCGATAGAAAAATGTTAACTACATGATAGACCTGTTTGAGCATAATCTCAGAAATAAATATTTTCTCATAAAAAAAGCAGCTGCCAGGGTGGAACTTTCAATTGTTTGTTCAGATTTGCTTTGAAAAATTGTGTAGGTTTCCTACATAACATTTGTCTTTTTGTTTATCTTCCTGTATGTCTGGACAAGACTTCACAGAGGTGTTATGGAAAAACTACCAAAAATTCTCATTGACTTTCAAGAAGTATTTATTCCAAATTCCTGCTTTCTTTTCTGATATATCTTATTTTACTTATTCTGCACTGCAAATTCACTTACAGTAAAACTTGCTCAGCATATCATTAAATGCCTGTAAAATAAAATACTTCATTCTCCACCTGATTTTTTTCCTTTATTATTGATTCTTGAAAATTATTTTGTCTTACTTCTGTATGCTAATTCCAACTTTCTGTAGCCAGAAGTATTTATGCAGTATTTATGTCTATTCCTTCTTTAAAGTGAATTTTTAAAACCTTGACTTAGTTAATACCTGAACAGTTTTTGTTTTCTCATTTTAGCATAAAGATTCCTGACATTAATATTTTCACATCTTATAACTGTAGCTCTGTCCTCTAAGTATTCTTTTTTCTCTGAACATCCCCTACTAGCACTTTTCTTTTTTTGAGGGGGATTACTATTAACCTTGCTCAAAGTGGGGGAAAAAAGCATAGATTAGCAGATGGTCAAGGTTTTATTAAACCATTTCTGAGTGTGTAATTATTAAGAATGTAAAATTATCTCTCACAGAGGGTTTGTTGAATATCAAACTTATGAAACAGTATCTATTGCAAAAAGAACAGAAAATTAATGAACCTTGACAAACTCAATAGTTAATTGCTTATTTAAAGGAGGCAATCTAGATTAATTAAGGAGATCAGTTGCTACTTAGGTCATGTACCATCCACATAAATTACCTTTCACTGATATTTCTCAGGTCAATGGAATTTTAAAAAAGAATTTGTTGCCATTCAACCACAGAAATGGAGTATGTGACAGCATGTATGTGTTAGCTTATTGTGCAACACAGCAAGTTTGAAAGAGGGATTAGCTACTCTAAATCATGGGTAGAAAATCATTAATTTCATAGTTCTCAGTGTCAGTATTCTTAAATAAAGTTTAATGTCACATAGGCTATGAAGAAGAATAGGAAGTGAAAAATTGTGTTATCCTAAGACATAAATTTTATCCAAACTGTGACTAGGAGTACATTGTTTCAGAGCATATCTTTAGTTAATACAGCAATAATGTAAGGGCTGCAACAATTTTCAAATCAAAATGCAGCCTATGTGGCACAAGACCAGGCAACCAGTGAAACAGATGGGTGTTCTTTTGTTCAATTGATAGGTGTTTGATTGCACTGATTATACCATGTTCAATTTGGAGTGGGATTAAATGTCAGAGATTGCCTGATGCTGATTAAAACTGTATATCCAGCTATGTCATATTTTCCCAGCCAAAATTCCAGGTTAGTTTCCGAATTTAAGTTCCATCTTAAAAATAGAAAGTCTTCATAAGCATTGTGGGGTTGTTTTTTTAAAATTCAAATGTACTTCAAGGACACTGCAGTTTAATAGATACTCAAAATGTTTTAATGGAACAGATGCTGCATTACCTGAAAACAGCCATAAAATGACAACAGAAAAAGATCTGGGTTTTTTGTTTGTTTGTTTTGTTTTATTTTTTGTTGTTTTTTTTTTTTCACTAATTATGTGACTTGTTTTTCTGTTAAGTGGATTTCAAGGCAGTAAAGTAATGCGTGAAGTATTATTCAGAGGTTTTGTTTACCTGTCTGATTCACTGGCTAGTTGAAACTACTTAATGCTATATAAATTTTTTATGTTTGTAGTAATAAAATGTTCTAAATGAGTCTTTCCACATTTTTCTAACAAATATGAGACATAAATTCCAAGCTAATTTTGTTTGTAATTCATAGCTGAAAAATTACATTTTTCATAACCAGACGTATTTCTGTGTCTGGTTATATGGGAGGCCTTGAATGTAACCTATTAAAGAATAAAATTCCAGCTATAATCTGTGTGCATGTATGTGTGTCTATATGTACACAAATGTAATTAATGAATGCTAAAAATATAGTACCCCATAGTGGAGATGAGTGATGAAAAGGATTACCGTTTAAATTGTTCTGGTTCCAGTTAATGAAATTATTAACTACTTACTACTTAAAATTATTTAGTTGTGTAAGCAAGATGCAAGAGTTCACTTTGCTTCAATAATGTGTTAAAATTATATAAATATATCTCTATTGTCTGCATTTTCAGTGTCACATCTCTGGCCTAGAAGTATTGGTATTTGAAAACACCAAAAATATAATTAGAGTCTGTAGTAGAGATCAAAGTGTGGGAATTCTGAGACTGTACTTGATTAGATTGCTCTAAAGACTTCAGCAAGTTTAGAAATCTCTCACTTTTCACCACCTTAAAACTCAACATTATCAAGAATTTTATTCTTTCTTGTCACACAGATTTAAAAAAGAAAAAGAAATGCATATGCACTTTAAAGCTCATTCATTGCCGTGATCTATATTGTCAATCACAGAATACTGATTTGTTAAGGTTAGAAGGGACCTGTGGAGTTCATCAAGTCCAAATCCTCTGCTCAGAGTATGTTCAGACAGAACAGACTGCTTAGGACACTATCAAGTCAGAGTTTGCATATCTCCAGGATGGAGACTCCACAACCTGTCCTACTGTTTACCACGCTCACAGTAGAAAAAGGGATTTTCTGTCATGTTTAAAAAAATGTCCTGTATTTCACTTAGAGTTGATTTCCTCTTGTCCTTTCACTGGGTACCACTGCATAAAGCCTGAATCTGTCTTCTTTGTACTTTTCTGCCAAATATTTATATACCATTGCTACTTTTTTTCTTGGACATATCAGTGCCAAGAAATTGAAAAAATATAGTCTGCCGTTTATGAAGTGAATGTAATTCTCATTTTCAAAACCAGATGACATATAGATTCAACAATTGAGATCTCCTAAAATAGTCCATATTATTATGTCATAAGATTCTAAATCTTAGCTATCTTATTACTACTAGAAATATGTTCTATCAACCTTATACATCAAATAAGATCATATACCTTCTCTTCTGTTTTGCCAGTAGCATTAGAGAACAAATACAATGTTCAGGGTGTAATTCTGAAAGACAGGAAAACAATAATATGTAGAGAAAGAGTTTTTGCTTATGAACCTGAAGATGTTTCACTTTACTGCGAAGAATACTGTTCAAGGAAAAGCTGAATTGCTGTGTTGTCAAGTTATGAAGATTTGTATTGTTTTCATACAGGGAAATAGCATGTATCTCAAAACCAAATGATTAAACTTTAAGTATGGATTTAAAAATTAAAATACACATATGTTCAAACACACTTCTCATCCTGTTTCACCTGCTTTGCTGATCTATTCTTGCACTGTTTTATTTTTACAGTATGTCCCTCCGGACCTTTGCATCTGTAATTTTGTCCTTGAACAGTCCCTATCTGTCAGAGCCCTTCAAGAAATGCTGGCCAGCACAGGAGATAATGCTAGTGAAGGGGTAAGTAAATTGACCTCAAAGAACATTAAGTTTCTGAATATGGATATTTCTCATTTCTTTCCTTGTCCAGGATTTTCTAGAAGAGGCTCCTCATATCACAGCAGTTTTCTTGGTATATTATTGCTCCTCATTAATCATATTAATTTCTCTTTAGCATTGAAGAGCTGGTGCATCTGTCTTTTGAAATATTTACAATCCACAAAACCTGAAACATCAACAATTTGATTGCTTTGACCCTAACTCTCCAATTTCAGCTGAATCAAATGGAATAAAAATTTTATTTTCATACAAACAAAGCATGAAAAAACTCTATTGCCTTACTTATTTTATGAGACTAAATGACAACTGATTATTATGCAAATCATGTTCAGAGCTAGATAGGCTGTCAGTTTTCATTATTTTATGTAGAACCAGAAAACTCATATTTTCTTTGAGTTGTAATTTTTCTTTTATTGTAGTTACACACATATTAAGTAAATAGGATGAATGCCTGAGAAAGAAACCAAACATAAAAATACAAGTATTACCTAAAGAAATTTTCTTAAAGATAACATTTTGCTATAATTTTTTTTGGTCAAAAAAAATTTATGCTGAATTTGTTTCATGATAAGAGATTTCTTTTTATTTCTGTTCATTTTTCTGAAGTTCGTTACGGTGCATGTAGTTTTAGGATTTTCTTCCTTCCTTAGTACAATCCTATAAATTAAAATAGAATAATATCTGGGAGGAGAACAATGATATGATTTAAGTAAAAATCCTAGAGGGGAGAATCAAAAGGGTGGTTTATTTACTTGAGACTAATTTTTTCAATGTCATATCCATCTATACAGAAGTGATACATTCAAAATGCATATTATTTTTCTAAATATAAAAATGACTATAGAATTTGTTCACTTTGCAACACGGTTTCTCAATTATATTAAGTTATAAAGATACTTAGAATGCTTTTGTACTGAAACTCCTTATTATTTTATTCAGAAGAGTAAATACTAAATTACTCAAAACTAGAATTTGGTTGTTTTCTGACTAACAAGCCTGCAGATTTTAAATTTTTAAATTTTAAAAACTGAAGAGAAGGTTGCTGTTTTGGAATGATTGAGTAGTGAAGTTCTATACTTTCATGCTTTCACAATTTTATAATACCATCTTCAGGGCCTACTCTTCATTCTATTAAAGAATGTTCTCTTTTTTTCACTGTAAGCTTGTTTCTATTGTACTTTATGTGTGAAAATCATATAATTTCAATTAGAAGATATGTATATATTCAGGATACGTAGCTCCAAGGTATGTAAACAATATTCATATAGAAATGTATGTATACATGCATAGATGCAGCATTCTTACGGTCCATTTTATGCTCTTTTAATCCTCTAAGTTAGGAATAATTCAGCAGGCTAAAATTATGAGTTGCATTTTGTATTATAATCAAAGGATAATGGTCATAAATCTTTCAGAGTTCAGTTAAGGATAAACTGCAGAAAGTGTCTTAAAATATCTTAAGGTATTACATACATTGTGAACACCGATTACATGGGGTACACAGTGGAATAAAGTTATTTGTAATGAGAAATTTCTTATGTGTTGACAAAATTGTTGCAGACTGTAAAACCTCCAGCCCCAGGACCTGCTGGCTCATGGGATCGGCTATGAGTTTTACTTTGATATATAGATACACGGTTCTTTAATACCTTGAGACAGCATTAAGAGAATAAGCCACGGGCTTGTTCCCAAGGAATTTCTTTGTTAATTTAGGGGAGAAAATAAGGGAACTTGGCCAAAGTTCAAAAGGAAACCACACAAACTAGACAAAAATATTCCACTGCAGTACTGTTTCAACATGTACTATTAATCCACACTCAAGTCAAAATCCAGCTGATTCCGCAGCACTTAAATCAAGATCCAATCCCTCCAGCTCCAAACTACCCTAAGCGTCAAGAAAGGAGCAGAGAAAAAGAAGCAGAGAGATCAAGAAGAGAGAAGCAGAGAGAGGGAGAGACAGATTATATAGCTATCACCAAAGCCTTGTAGAAGACCAGCTCTCACAAGTCCAAGTGGCAGGGCTGCTACACGAAGCAAACACATGCCCTTGGTTTTATCTGCTCTGATCCCTATGGCCAACCCCTCCAGGTGGCTTTCTGACCCACCAGCCACTCTGGGGGTTCCAGGCCAGGGTGAGGGGCAGTGTCCTCACTGTCCCTGCCAATCTGAGCTGGGTGAGGGGCTCCAGGAGGTGTGCTGTGTTATAGTTTTCCCAGGCTGTCTGTGACTGACAGCTACTCCAGGGCTTCCCCTTGTGGGCTCCAGGGACTGCCACGTGGGATAAGATGCCACCCCACCTCTGTGAGGTTTAACCCATCCCTTCCCCCTCCACACACATATACACACACTCCTTACAGGTTGGTTCTGACCCAAATAATAACTAATCTGGTGTCTAACACAGATTCATACGTCTAATACTCAAAACTTCAGTGATAGTAGTCCAGTTGACTTCCATCAGATTGTTTTTCAAATGTATGAAACATATAATTTTATAATTTTATCATTTTATTTACTATTTTAAACATTTATTTCATAGTACAGTATTGAAATTAAACAAAGATGGTGATACATCAGCATAAATAACAAAATAAAGTCATTTTGTATATTGAGGAATTCCTGAATGCAGGAATTAACATTTTTGTTAGAAGTTACTTTGTAGCAAATTGGGAAAGCATCTAAATAGTGTATAGATTAAATGATATAACCATGAAATTATCAGTTGCAAATTGTTTTGTATATACTTTTTATACCTTACAAATTAAGACAGAACTATGATCGTGAAATAACAAATATGGATTCTAGTTAAAAATATGCCAGCTTGAGAAGAAAAGGAAAAGAAATCGATTTTTTTATGATCACACTTGTTTTTAATTGTATATTAAATTGTCATTATTGTAACCATCTTTCTTATTTAGATTGCATGGGGATGAGATATGTGCTCTAGAAAGGCTGTGTATTATATGTATTCAGAAACCCCTCAGTATTTCAGTTAATGCTTTCTCATCACAGACTACTATTTGATTCGCAGGAGTTAAATTCTTCCTTAATTTTTACTTTTTGAGAAGAACCTTATTGTTTCTTTGTAACTTGGTGTCAGGATAACCACAACCTACTGGCTTATTCTGCACTTCAGGTCTTTAACTGGAACATGTCATAGCAGAGATCAGGGACGCTAGAGCTCTCCTGTCACCTCCGATCTTGCACTGTCAACCTTTGCACACATGGTTTTCAGACTTCATTAATACTGACCTCTTGTTTTCCACTGCATAAAGTGTGATTTTTTATCTTTGCAATTATGTGGCTTTCTAGAAAACATAAGACCTGATGAAAATAAAAGCATATGCTTAGGGAAAATAAGATTGATTTAAACACTTCTAGGATTCATAAGTAACTACACAATTTTTAATATTTCCAAAATATTCACCCCAAACTTTAGCCAAAGGATTTAATCTGAGATTAATAGTGATATATGAATATTTTATTTGGGATTGGAAGTAGAGGAAAATAATCTTTTCAGTAAAAATGGTGGTATTGTTGCTTAAGGAGCAGTAGGCAATAAAAAAATAATCTAATCTGTTATGCTGTATTTATTTTGAAACTACCTTGTCCTGCATTTATTTTGAAGTTAGGTATCATCCATTGGGGAAACTGTAATAGGAACACAACAGTTAATATTAATAGCAAGGATGAAATAAAAAATGAAAGCCTGAACAATGATGCAAGAAACTTTCTTTCTGGACCACAAAGATTTGTTACATTCAGAGAAGGTGGACACTTAACTAGCTTCTGTCAACAAGCTATTGGTAAAATGGATGGGTTATTTCTTAGGTTACAATTAACTGATTCTGTTTTAAGACATATGTCATAAATACCAACCAAGTTAAATGCCTTGTAGTATGAGGCGCTATCTTTAGCACCATTTAAACAAATAGATAAGTAATTTCTAAACTAGATTTCAGAAGAAGCTATTTTTGACATGGATAATACAAAATCTTGTCTTTTAATAGTGGTTATATACGTAGAGAAAATAGTAACATGAGATGTAGGTATGCACATCTTAAAATGTTCATTTACATTGTTCTTAATACAAATTCATTGCCAAGAATATAGATTGGCCTCATATAATTAACATTAATCTTTTATTGGTTCCACAAGTGTATCACTCATTGAAAGGTTTGCTTTCCGTATTAAATTTGTCCAGCACACAGCTGGATAAACACATCATGTGATGGGTGAGCAATTGGCTCACGAGTCGAGCACAGAGGGTTACAGTGAATGGAGTGACATCAGACTGGTGACCTGTCATTAGTGGGGTTCTGCTGGGCACCATCTTGGGCCCTGTGCTCTTCAACATCTTCATAAATTACTTGGACATAGGGCAGCAAGGGATACTAAGCAAGTTCGCAGATGACACAAAACTGGGAGGAGCTGTTGACTCCCTTGAAGGCAGGGAGGGCCTGAAGAGAGACCTCGACAAATTAGAGGGCAACCCATATCAAGTTCAATGAGGGAAAGTGTTGGATTCTGCACCTGGGAAAGGGGGAACCCCATATGTATGTATAAACTGGGGAATGAGATGCTGGAAAACAGTGCCACGGAAAGGCACCTGGGGGTCCTGGTCAATGGCAAGTTGAATATGAGTCAGCAGTGCCCTGGCAGCCAGGAAGGCCAACCGTGTCCTGGGGGGCATCAGGCAAAGCATCGCCAGCCGGTTGAGGAAGGGGATTGTCCTGCTCTGCTCTGCACTGGGGTGGGCTCACCTTGAATATTGTGTGCAGTTTTGGGCACCACAATAGAAGAAAGATATTAAGCTCTTAGAGAGTGTCCAGAGTGGGGCAATGAAGATGGTGAAGGGCCTTGAGAGGAAGCCGTATGAGGAGAGGCTGAGGTCACTTGGTGTGTCCAACCTGGAGAAGAGGAGACTGAGGGAAGACCTCATTGCAGTCTACAACGTCCTCGTGAGGGGAAGAGGAGGGACAGGCACTGATCTCTTCTCTGTGGTGACCAGTGAGAGAACCCGAGGGAATGGCCTGAAGTTGTGTCAGGGGAGGTTTAGATTGGATATTAGGAAAAGGTTCTTCACCCAGAGGGTGGTTGGGCACTGGAACAGGCTCCCCAGGGAGGTGGTCAGAGCACCAAGCCTTCCAGAGTTCAAGAAGCATTTGGATGATCCTCTCAGGCACATGGTGTGACTCTTGGGGATGGTCCTGTGCAGGTCTAATGGTTGGACTCGATGATCCCTGTGGGTCACTTCCAGCTCAGCATATTCTGTGATTCTGTGAAATTTAGTTTGGAATAGAGTTCTGTTGTTAGTTTCAGATTTTTCTAGAGGAAAATTGTAGCTTCTTTGGTTTGGTTGTTTTGGTTTTTGTTTGTTTGTTTGTTTTGGTTCATTTTGGTTTGGTTTGGTTTTTTTGTTTGGTTTTTTGTTTGGTTGTGTTGGTTTGTTTTTTTTTTTTAATGAGTCAGCCTTAAAATTACAATTGATTTACTTAAAAACTTTCATTAATAAAATAACATGAGGTGTTTTATTGCTTCTTCTCAGTATACGTATATTTGTTGCAAACTGAATACATATAATTTTCTACTGACAACCTGTTTGTTACAGTTGATTTTGCTGTTAAGGTTTTCCTGTTGATTAAAAAAAAAAGAATTGTAATGTATAAAAGAAGTCTTACATACATATTTCTGGTTTTCTGCACCAAGCAGTGATATATTCCTGCAGGATTAAAATCCTTTTTTATCAATGACATATTTTGGAGAAACTCATGGAATTTTTTTATTTGTTGTACTGATAACCTTTTTATAATGATACCTTAAAGTAAGCTATATCCACTGAATGCCCAGTGATAACTATCTATTTATCTCCAATTTTTTCCAATACTCTAACACATATTCTATGTGGGTCAAAAAATCATTATTCAGGAGTTGAGTGGGTTTTGGGTTGTTTTTGTTTTGTTTTTTTTTTAGTTTGCTACTAGATATACGGAGAAAATTTACATAATTATATGGATCATATTGGGAAAGAGATTACATATTACATGTAGTATCTATATAATTCTGAGAAATTTATCAATTAAATTTACTACATAAAAGTTCTTAAGACTGTCTATTAACGGTAACTGTTAACAGTAAGTAGTAAGTTCCAGTGTACAATCCCTATGTGTTAATGCCTTTGTTACTTGCTAGGAAACCTGAAGTAGAATTTTTATTTTATTGCAGTTGAAATAAACGTCCTCTGCTCTATTGCTTCTGTATTTTTATTCCTTCTGATTGGACAAAGTTGGGGTTCTGTCGAACACAAGTTGTGCATAGTGTGTAAACCTATTGACCTAACTGGTAATTTAACTTACATATTCATTATAGAGTGTAAAATCATTTGCCTACACATGTATAACTGTTATTTGAGTTCTTGGAACTACCTTTACTTATCTTGAGCCCTTCCAAATGAATCCAAAGAAAAGAACTGACCTTAAATGCAGTCCACAAGGAGCTCAAAAGATGTGTGTTCAATTCTTTAAAGGAAGTAAATGGAAAATCCATTTTTCCCTCTCCCCGATCTTGTCATAGTTTTATATATTCAAAATTAATTACTGTACTTGGTTGAAACTATGGATGCAGTTGCTTTAATTAATCTGATATGTGCTTAAGATAACATTAATACTAGCAAGTAGATATTCTTAGTATGTGCTTAAACTATTCTGGGAAGTAGGCATGTTTTTTCTCTTTCAGATTTCAGTTTTGTGTATATATATATATATATTTACTTTGTTGGGTTTTTTTTAATGCCTCCAAGAAGTTTATAAGAAAGGTAAGTATTATCTTATTTAACTTAAAATGTGTTTTTGAAAATGCTGTGGTTTTACTTAATCATAGTAAAAATTAGGTAACAATAGGAGTCTTTGACAAAGGATGACACTTGTTCCTTTGGCAGATATTCAACTATTGCTGTAGCTACTTCATTATTCTGCCCAGCGTATACATTTCATAACTTGTTGGAATATTTGTGCCTGTTCCTTGAACTGTAGTAGCTCTTTGTGTTGTTGCATAATTCTGACTGTAGTCCACATAGTGCAGTGGAGTTCTGACCTTCTTCCTCATGTTCTGTAGGCAGCTCAAGGCGGTGGTCACAGAACCCTGCTCTATGGCCATGCGATACTACTTCGACATTCGTTCAGTGAAATGGTAAGTGAAAGAGCACTTGCACAGAATGAGTAACATGAAAGTCAAATAAATGTCTTTTTACCAAATAAAAAATACATAAATTTGAAATCACGCTCTTTCCAAGTTATTTTTTGTGCTATATGAAAAAAAAAGCTTATGATGTCTTGACATAATAGAAGTGTTTAAATTCAGATTCTTCATGTAACTCAGAAATGTAGCTGAAAAGCTCCTTTGGCCATGGATTATTTCTGTGTCTTTAAGGAATCCATTTTAATGATAATTCCATTAGCAAGTGTTTCTACTGCAAATGAATTTGTTGTGATATACATTATTTTTTTCTCACCATATTTTATAAGATGTTTGACATCCTATAGTTCGCAGAGATAATGCCCGCAAACAGGCTGTCTTCAGGCTGCCTTATATAAATTTCATTGCACGACATTTTGCAAATGGAAAATTTCAGCTGTTTTGAATCTTTTATTTGTTAGGGCCCATGTAAATACACTTACAGAAGACTGAAGAAATGAGAAGACAGGAGAACATCTTCCCTCCTTTTTCCTTTACTAGAAAACTCTACAATAATCTTCAAACTTTGTTACTTATGTTCATGAACCATACAAATTGTAGTGGCCTTGATATACCAGAGTTGCTAGTATGATTAGTACCTTTTAGTACATTTGTCATGTTTCCATGAAGTAAACTTATTATGGTAATACTTTAATCAGACATTTGCATGTTCCTATCTGATAAGCTGCGTGAAACTTTCTCTGTGCTAAATTGCACAATGGAAAAGGATTTTGATGTTTTCAATTTGGGAAGAGCTTCTATATGAATAACAACATAATTCTTCAAGTAATTAAAAAAATTAAGCATATTTTGATAGTAAGATGAAGTAATGTGAGTGTATTCATTTGGCATGTGTTTTAATGGATACTGTTGGATTTTTGTTTTCAATAACTTCACTGTTTTGCAGTATTTGACATGTTTAACATCATCAAGATCCCAGACAGATAAACTTGCATTTGATGTAGGACTACGAGAAAATGCAGCAGGTATGTCAAGTTATTTTTGAAAGAAAATGTGTCACACAGTTCTGGTTTTAGAAGAAGCATTGAGATTAATGTAACTATAAGCTTATGAATGGCATGCTTATGTGTTCATTAGAAATAAGATGACTGAAAGAAATGACGACTCTCAGTACCGATGGCTGTCAGTACTAATAAGTTCCAGCAAATAAACTGACTTTGTGTAGGAATGTGAGAGAGCCTTGCAATTAAACTGAGTTAGCACAGCTGAAATAACATGGGTGATAACGGTCAAATTAGAAAAAAATTCTGTTGAATAAAGTAAATTTGATGCAGTTGATTTTGTTTTGTGTTTTGACACTTTCAATAGAATTAGAGTATGGAAAAACCATGTATTGGTGAATTCATGATACACATTGTAACCATGTAACAAAAGAAATTTGCAACTTTTAACACAGGAAAACAGAAAAAGTGTAATGAGCACATTATTGAAAAAGCTGAAGAAAAATAAAATCATAAAATGGATAAAAACAATAATGGGACAAAGTGGAAGACATACAACACAAACATGACATTATGTGAAAGTTTTAAAATCTAATTAATAGTTTTCTGGGAGTACTGTCAGTAACAGTGCTACTAACTAAACTATAGTAAAAAAAAATTGTGCTTCCATGAAAGCACATATAAATTAGGGGTTGCCACTAGGAGCTATATTAAATGAGTTTAGAAGCAACTTAGCTGCAAAGAGCTACAAATAGGTTTACATTGAAGGGAAAATCAAAGTATCTGTATACACACTTCATTAATATGAAGCTTCCAATAAAGAAATACCAGTTGTGTTAATGTAAACCTGTGCTTTCTATTGCATTTTCATTATATTGAAAATAAATTAAAATCAAAATAGACTAACTGATGATGGAGATGCACTGCCAGTGTAGGTGTTAAAAAGTTTGTGGACCATGACCTTTGAAACTTTCTTTTCAGGTGGCTCTAGCTACAAAAGTTTCTCTTTTGAATGTGTCGGGTTTGTCTTTCAGTTGTTTCTAGTCATACAGATGATGTTCTCAGACATCTATTAGCAGCCTGTTACTTGACTATCTTTATTTGTTGCCTTAGATGGAGAACATTTTCTTTAGGCGTGTTGATAAAAGGAGTGTGTGTGTAATCTTTATGAAAATAATTTCACTGAATTGTGTTTTTATAATTTTATAGAATTTTTTCAGAGTTATTGCGCACGTGTCTTCTTCTACCTATGAGGTTTTGTAATGGGTATCTGTAGTTGTTTCATTGGTATTTGCTTAATTATACATATACAGAAAGACTCTTGTACACATAGGTAAGATAAAAAAAGGCAACATATAAAAGGAGTGCTTAGTTGTGTTTCTGCCCGGAGGATTTTGGTAACTACTCCATGCTTGTAAACCTCATAAGCTGAATGCCATAATATCACTTCCCCTCCTCCTAATCTCTCACCTACAAAACTGTCCTAGTGAATCAATTTTAGCTGCAGGAGGTATTCTTCATCCAGCAGGTATTGAAGGAAAAACCACTGGCTATTAAAAATTATTCCCTTCAAAGATTTAGCATTTTACACTTTTAGGGATGTAACTTTTATTTATTGTCTTCACTAGAATTAGTTTCGTAACCTTCAAATTTCGTTTTAAGAGGCTTTTGCATGAAATACCTTAATTGATCAAACAAATTTTTGTGCTTTGTCAGATGCTACCAATTTTGCCTTTGCTTATTTTTTGTCACTTTGCATTGCCTGGTGAGAAGGTTGTATTCAACTTGTTTTCTTCAAGGTCTTATCTAAGATCTGAAGGGTGTGAAATTGTGAAATGAACTGGGTAATCTTCCCAGAATCGTGAGTGTGTGTGTGCGTGTGTGCAAAATAACCTGGAATCTTACATTTAATGTGTAGGAAATAGTCTATGGCTGTCGCCCTTAGGCCTGACTATCTTTTAGTCATATGGTCTGTAGTGCTACTGGAACTGCTTCCAGGTCTGATATTTGTAGTGTAGCAACTTTGTAAAGGTATGGAGTATTTGTTTCAAAATTCTGTATTCTACAAGAGAAGTGTAGCTTAGAGTGGAAATGATGCAGAAGATTGTGAATTAAATATGACCATTAAGCAAAAGAAGACACAAAAGATGATAAATAAGACTGACATAGCTGTCAGCAATTTACTGGCAGGGAGAGCCATGAAGGAAGGGCAGTCCTGAGCAGTGTTTTGTAAAGAGTTAGTTGCTTTAAAAAGACATGAAAAGGGAAATATCAGGGTCAGATATGATAAAGATTGATTGACAAAACTTTCAAGGAAAAAGAAAAGCATTGAAAGTGATTGAAAATAGGAATGAGGTGGATTTATAAGACACAATTTTTATTATGGTATTTCAATGTTATATAAAGATATCCTTAGATTTTTTGGGGAGTTGTCTCTTTTGTAGACTCTTGATTAGTTCCTCTGTCCTTTAGGTGAAGCATGCTGGTGGACAATACACCCTGCTTCTAAACAAAGGTCAGAAGGAGAAAAAGTTCGAATAGGTGATGATCTTATCCTGGTCAGCGTGTCCTCTGAAAGATACCTGGTAAGTTTGTTTCTTTAACAAGCAACCAAGTGGTGGGAACATACAGAGTGCTGTGAGAAGATGGGGAAAATAGTTGGGGTTCTTATGAATCATCTTTTTCTAATCTAGGAACTAATGCCTGGTTGTAATGCATTTTTATTTTTCCTCACTGAAACAGGTGTATGTGTATGTGTGTGTGTTCCTCCTTCAGAACAAGACTGTTTCCAAGCCTTTTTCCCGAGGTGTACTTCAGCATTCTCCATCTTAGGAAGTTTTTATTTCTGTAATTGTGAAAGAGTTCTTTGCTGCAGCTGGAGTCTGTTGATTAGATTTAGAAAAGAGTTCATTTTAAAAGCAACTGCTAATTTTTAAAGAATGTTTGTGTATTTACTTTATGATATATTCAGTTTGTTGTTAAATTAATGTACTAAATATTTATAAGTGCATAATTTTCACTATTTCCTCTTATCGTTGTCTTATTTCAGCATCTGTCTGTTTCAAATGGAAGTATTCATGTGGATGCCTCCTTTATGCAGACACTATGGAATGTACATCCTATATGCTCAGGAAGCAATATTACGGAAGGTCTGTCATTTTATTTATTTAGAAATAAATAAATTATAATATAATATATAATTTAGGTTACTTTGTATGCTTTTTATAAAGGATGAAAATGAAAAAAAAAATCACCCTTGGAACACCAAACCAAAAAGTTTCATGAAAATAAAGGAAAGGAGCATAGGAGAGAAGAATAATTGATGGGAAAACAGGGAAATACAGATGCATCAGCCAGATCAACTGAAGAAAAGCTAAATGAGCACTGTAACCTTAGAATAACAAAGCATAAAAAGCTTCATGAGAAATGAAAACTCAGTTTAATTTTGGGGAGCAGGAGCTGCAGAATAACTAAAGCCAGAAAACTTAGATTTTGTATAAAATCTATGTCCTGTTCTCCCAGGATATAACAGAAGAGAGATAAAAGTACAGGCAAAATGGAAAACCTTTTCTCAAAGTTCCTATTTCAGTCTCCTGTGTTTTTATGGACATTTGTTCAATATCCTTTGTGGATCTCACAGCCATATTTATTGTCTGTCTGTAATCGACAAGAAAATTCATTCTCTTAACTAGTCTAAATCCTACACCAGAGTGAGGATTTCTTTCTAGGTACTTAGCTTCATTTTATGGTCATGTTTGACCTTATTCTGAGAAATTTCTTGTTCTATGTTGAAAGGCTGACCCACTCGGTGTTGCTTCTTATTTCAATGCCATATTTTGACATTAACACTGTCATAGCAAACATTGTACTTTACATCTGCCATTCTCTGTTCAAAGTATTAGCCCTTGATGTTCACAAATGACTCAAATGTCCTTGTCATTTTGTACCACTTGGCTGTAAAACTGATCACTTATGATATAGTAATATACAATATCACAATATCACCCCCCTGTCTGGGGGCCTGCCATCCTAGATCATAAATAGAATAGAAGTCAACTCTGGAAAAGTCTGTGTTTTCTCAGGTTTCACAGGTAAAAAAACAGAAAAGCCATCCTATAGCAAAATTTAAAACTTGTAACAGATGATAAACAAAATGAGCCACACAGAGAGATCATGGAAGATCGATGGTATATTTTAGATTTCTGTAACAGAAGGGATTTGGCAGCTAAACTTCCTAAGAACTTACGGAATCACAGAGCTGTTGAGGTAGGAAATGACCTGGCCCAATTTACTGTCCAAGCTGGCCCACCTAGAACAGGTTGCCTAGGACTGTGTCTAGGCAGGTTTAGACTCTCTCCAAGGATGGAGACTCCACAACCTCCCTGGGCAACCTGTGGCAGTGCTCAGACACCCTCAACATGAAAAAGTGTTTCCTCATGTTCAGAAAGACTCTGCCATGTTTGAATGTGTGCCCATTGCCCCTGGTTTTGTCACTGGGCACCACTGAAGAGACCCTGATCCCGTCCTCTTTACATTCCTGAAGTCCCCCCAGAGCCTTCTCTTCTCTAGGTCAAACAGTCCCAGTTCCCTCAGCCTTTCCTCATGTGTGACATGCTGTTACGACCCGCCCCGGGAGAAGGGGAGGGGGGTAACTCAGGTTTTTATCAATACTTCCCTTGGGGTGGATTAAAGCGAAACGACACTAGATAATCGGTGTCTGAAAACATATATTGCCAAAATTTATTTTAACAATTTGGCATCATCAGGTAAGCCAGCGTTTTGGTTGCTGTCATATAACGATGCAACATAAAGATAACCTTTGGGGGGGGGAACACATAAGGGAGAGAAAGGAAAGACAGGGTAAGGATAAGGGAGAGTAAGGGAAAGAAAATATGAAGGGGAGAAATGCATATAGTCACCGCCCACGGGGTCCAGCGATGACACCTGGCAGTTGCCGCTTCCATGTCCGTCAACTGAAGTGGTGGCCTTGATTTGCTGGGGGTGAAGGAGGGAAGCCCCCACACTCCAAGAAGTTACCCATGGTCAGTGTCACAGGCCATGTCTCGAGCCTCCAACCTCTCTCTGGGCCTGCGCAGAGCTTCTGAGTCTGGCCTGGTTCCCGCCTTTCAAGATTGGTAGGGGGGGATGGGCCCAACTGCCCATCAGAGATGTAAGGTAAAAGTCAAAAGCCTGCAAACTCCTGGAATGCATAAATCATTAACCATTTCAGTCTCTGACACATGCATCAGTCTCTTAATCATCTTAGTGTCCCTTTTCTGTACTTGGAACCCTTATACTGTGTAGCCCAGAATTGGTCACATAATCCAAAATTGTATAATTAAAAAAAAAATAAATTAAATAGGTTAGGGTGAGGTAAGCAGAGAAGTAGGTTTTCTGTGTATCAATCAATTTTTTTCCAATTACTTAGGCTTAGTTGCATATACAGTTCTCGGAATGGTTTATGTGAGAGATGATCATATGTAAAAAGACATAACAGCCTAGCTCATGTTGAATGAACAGACCGAGGAAGCAGGATTTCCTGAGTGTAAAATTGTATTGGGAATCAGACAATGTACATTTTGCGATGTTTGAGAAACTTTTGATGGAACACAAATATCAGGAAAATGTATTTTTTCACATTATTTCTTTACTTGAATTTTGTATTAATTGCCAACAGAGTAATTGTCAGTTATTGTTTTCCTAATTTACAAATTTATTTTGAATCAGCTGCACAGTATGAAAGTTTTCTTCTTTCCTTCCTCCTTTATGTATGTTCTTTCAAAAGGCATTAATTTCACTTACTACATCAGAACTGTTTGAAGTGAAGTTATGATGAACCATTCTCCTCCTACACCCCTTTGTCTTTTCCTCTTTAATGTGAGGCAAAATGCCTGCACTCTGTGTTAAATGGGTTGGAAAGTTAGTTTGCATTAAACTTAATCTTCAGAATTGCAAAGTGTTTTTCTCTTCTCTTTCTCTTACTGCTGCTGTGCACTTTTGCTTTTGACACAGATTATAAATGTCAGAACAAACTGATGAACTCACGAAATTATTTTGTATTGAGATAATTTAAATTGTAGTAATGGGGAGGAAACTGTGGTATTATATATTTGATTTGGCAATATATCGATTATATTATATATTGATGTGGCAAAGACTACATAATATGACAATATTACATTCTCTGAGTACCCACAAATCAGGTTGACTGCAGAACTGGCCCAAGTTTATGCAAAAGATCCATGAATATGCAGAGAAGTTAAAACTGCTCACAGCTTTTATTCTGCATGGAAATAAACTGTTATCTACCCAGCTGAAATGGTAACAAAAAATTCCCACCTGACCATTTTCTGCATGTTTTTTTCTTGTTCCTAGCCTACTGTATTGTAATTGATTACCACCACCAGGGACATAAAACAGCTCTTTCCTGGCAAGTACAAGAGCATTGCAGGGATAATTAATTAATGTGTTAATATATAAATAAAAGGTATTCCTTTACAGTTGGAATTTTTCGTAGCATTGTATAATTATACAAAGACTTAAATCTCCGGTTCACGAAATCTCACAACCACAAATCATAGCAGTCTGGAAGAGCATCACTGCTCCTTGCCTTCTCCCTATACTCTTGCCTTAGACACCCACAATTATAAGCTTTGGAGAAAGGATTTAGGACTAGAAGAAAATTCAGTCTGGCATGGCACAGCCATTCCTTTGTCTAAGAGAGCACAACTTCAGAAGGACATTTTTACACTATTTAATTTCTTCAATTTTCAAGAAAATAAATGTTGCCGAGGGCTTTAATTTCCTTTTCTGTCTCAGAATCCCAATTTGATTTTTAAAATTTAAGAGATTGCTTTCTTTTTGTCTTCATTTTCAGAAGAACTATTTTTAACTGAAAAAGGTATTAAAAATAACATGTCATCATACTAAATTTGTTCTTGTTTAATTTCAGTTATGGTTGAAAATTTGGAAAACATTTCATCTAGCTCTTTTGAATTTTTAAAAATTTTATGAGGGTGTTATTTTCATATTGTCAACGTTTAAGCTAATGAGTAAATGAACTTCTTCTACAGGATATCTTCTTGGTGGGCATGTAGTACGTTTTTTCCATGGCCATGATGAGTGCTTGACAATTCCATCTACAGATCAGAATGATTCACAACACAAGTAAGTGATGGTGCATTTTTATATATTTCCTTCTCTCAAAAATGGAAAAGATTGTCAGTTGATTTGAGGTTAGATAGATTAAAACCTCTTTACAGCAATCTTTAATTAGGCAGTGACATTATTAAAAGAAGTTAGGACCCACAAAGCAGAAAATCAGTAATGAGTTCATTTATTGCTGAAATTTAAGTGGTCCATTTCCACTGAGATTTCAGCCTGTTATGTTGTTTGTCTTTAATGTGTACTAGTATAAGTAGAGGTAAGCTACTGTTAGCAGGGAAGATGGTAATGTAAAAAAAACCCCAAAACCAAACAAAACAGAAAAAAAGTAAGTTTGGCCTCCACAATGACTTTCATATTTTATATATTTTGCACCTTTTGGCAAGCTCTTGCTTTCTTAAATTTGATTAATATATTAAGATAATTAGATCACTTTACATAGACTAAATCACTTTTGTATTACACTTACATCTACAGTTATATATCTATGTTGAATTTTTTTATTTTTTTGTATTTTACTGTTAATCAAAATCACAGCAAGCTAATAATTTTGATACACCAGCCTCCTAGCTTTAAAAATCATATTCAGCAAATAAGATCATCATACCCATTGTGGCAAATAAGTTATGCTTTAGGTAATATGATACCACGAGTAACATTCAGTCATGTCAAGTAAACTTTTCAGCTCTAAATTTTCCATGTTTACATTTCTGTGGAGTAAAACTGTCTCCAAAGCCAAAAGAAAACTCAAACGGAATGCCAGAAAAATTCACTTGGTGAATTTTTATTGCTATTCTCTTCATATGTCTATAGAAAAAAAGATACAAAGTTTGCACCGAGTATCAAAATGTATACATCTAGTATAAAAATACTAGAAGAATGTGAGGATCTAGACACCTATGTAGAACAGATGTCATAGTAAGACTAATTTTATAAACAACCTATCTTTGTATGGTTAAAATAGATGCCAACACACTTTGGTATGTTCAGAAATGCTGTACTTTGCTACTGCTGATACTTATCTAGGAGTCAGATATAGTTAAAACTAAAAATAATTTTGAAGTCCTATTCCCCAGTATGATGTTATTCTTAATATATGTTTGATGTGTAGTGCTACTGACTTAAGATCTGCTTCCATGTCTCTTACAATAAGTAAATAAAAGGGTGAAATAAAAAAAAATTCTCTGAATAAAATCTATGTTTTTATGTTCCTAAAATGGATAATAATGTGAATGCTATACTGAACGTTTTCAAATGTGTGATAGCGACGATTTAAAGTTGTCCTATCTTTTGTATTTATGACCTACATAACAGACATAAGGCCAAATTTGTATTGTGTCATAGTTGTAGAAGTCACATTTACATTATCAAAAAAAATAAACACAGAAAAAAACCCAAGTAGTAATAGGAACAGGAGAAAGAGATGTAGGAAATTGTTGTGTTTGTTTCCAAATGGAAATACTTGAGATGGAGATATTGAATATCAAACAGGCCAGCTTGGCAAGAAAAAAAAATGAGTGGATGGAATCAAGCAGATGGAGAAAACACTATGTGGATGCTGTTGTGAAAAAGCAGCAATTCTCTTTTACTTGCAGTTTTGTTACAGTAAGGACAGGTCACTAATGCTAGGGTAGTGTTGCATATAGAAGAATCTGGAGAAAGATAAAAGATTTTAAGTAGTATAGGAATTAAAAGTATACAGGTGAACAAAGACATATCTATGATACTGCTTCTCTCAGTTTTGAGCTTAGCTAGGAAGAGGTATTTAGAGTCTGCCAAAAGTAACATCAGTAAGGTCAGTGGGACCAAAGAGGATCTAGGATGAAAATGGAAGAGTAAAGCTCCAAACAGGTATTGTGTATTCAGTATATTCATAAAATCATGTAACAGCCTATGTTGGAAGAGATCTTGAAAGATCATATTCACAATCTGGAAATGAAGATGAATTGACAGGTAGGTGTTTTTTTTTTCCTTTGATTCTAGAATATTAAAACATCTTTATGGAAAACAATGCATAGGAAATGATATTGCTTTAACTATGAGGAATATATATTCTTATTCTTTTGACACACTATTATTTCGAAATTTTTGACATCACATATGTTCTTAAATGTAACTCCTAAATAATATAGAGGTATAAATACAAGTCCACCTTATAAAGAAACTGGATGCAAATGGTTTGTCATGCTTCAGCATACTTCATAATACAATGTAGATACTTCCAGATTATATTGGTGTTGCTCAAGAAAGAGAGGATCAGATGAATTAAAATCTTAACTGTTCTCAGTAGAAGAAAAGTTAGAAACATTTGTTCAGATAGGAGAACCACAACTTTCATTTTGCAAGTTGAGTTCTGAGTCCCATGGTTGCACAAGAACAATGCTAATTTTGTGGTTTAACCCCAGTCAGCAGTCAAGAACCACTTGAAGTTTTTCATCTTTCAGTAGGCAGAGTTTTAGATCAAGACCTTTCTTATTATCCATTTTATTTCCTATATTCATTATAAATGAGGAAGATTATACAAATTCTGGTGCTTAGATGACAAAGCATGAATGACTACTAAAACATTAAAAACTTCCTGTGAACAGGGCTAATCCACCATAGTTTGTTTTTGTTTGTATTTGACTGTTAAGTAGAATATTAGTTTCAGCACTAAAACATATCACTGATCCCCAGACAATAGTTCAAGAAAACTAGATTATAGTAAAGGTTTAATTCTTTCACTTCCTTTTTTTTTATTGCTCTGAATTTTCTAAAACCAATATATAATTTTATCTGTATTATCTGTTTTGTAAAGGTTATAATGCAGAATTTTTGTTATTACCACCCTTTTTGTCCTTTCATAGGAATCATACAAGTAATTCTAGGAATGAAGTCTCAGTGTCATGTTCATGCAGAGAATCAATAGTATCTGAAAATGTATATATTTATTTTAATATTGTGTATATGTATTTAAAACCTTTAGTAATCTCTTTGGAACTGTAGGAATTAGGTATTTTTATAGCTGTTTAAGTAACAGGAAAAGTTCTCCAGCCAGTTTGAATTTTATCATCTCCTGAGAGAGAATAGCTTAATGGAAATAGTCTAATTTACCTGGGATATATGGATTGTGTATGATGGTCTCAGTGATGAGTAGGAATCTTCTGTCTGTTCAACTCCATTTGTTTAACAGAGGAGAAGTAGGGAGTAATGTACAATTTACAGAGAATTAAGCTAAAAATACTATGTAAACACAAGTAAACACAAGAGGATGATCTTCTGAATCTTTTCTGTAGGAAAGTTTTCTATGAAACTGGAGGAGCTGGTGTTCGAGCAAGGTCTTTGTGGAGAGTAGAACCCCTTCGAATAAGGTACTAATATTTTTTGTAACTTTTTTTTGTTAACAACTCCTGTTATGTTCACAGCAATTTGATTATTACAGACCCTTAAGGCAGAACATGACTAATATATTTGTCATGCTGTTTGATATGTGTTAGTATGTTCTTTGTCAATAATAAAATCAATCCATTTTGATATAATCATATAGGGAATGTCAGTATTTTAAGACTTTTTTTTCTGTCTCCCATATTAAAAGCAGCATTGACTATGATGTATGTCTGCTTGGGACACTGCTTCTGTCCGCAAGTAAAATACTTTTCTAGTTTTCACTTGGAGTTTTAGAAGCACAGGTGGAAATCAGAGCAGTAATATTACTCCTGTGTGGTTTTTTGTTTTTATTTTGTTTGTTTTGTTGGGTGTTTTTTTAAGACTCTATCACCTTCCTACGTTATTAGCTATCTCTTATTTTGCTGGAAGTGAAATTTCAATATATACCATAAAATTATGTATGTTTTAACTTTGATGGCCTTCTGAACCATATGTTTGTTTTACCCTTGGTGCATTTGTGATTGCAAATGAAATACCCTCATAACTAAGAGAGATGTACAAGAATTCTGTAAATGTTGAGTCCTCACAAATTAAACCCAACTAGGTTTAATTTGTTTGTCTAGTCAGTCAACTAAAAGAGAGTAGTTAATTTACACATGCAGGATGTTTTTATGGACACCACGTGTAACACCCTAATAAAACAGAGAGAGGGTGCAGGAACAAGAAGATGAAAGCTATACTCCTTTCCAGTGTTCCCTTTGCAAATATATTAAGTTTTTCATCTGTTTTTATGCACATATTGAAATCAGAACCAAAAAGTAATATATAGCACATTCTATTTTCTGAACATCCTTTAGAGCCTGAAGTAGAAATGTTATGTTTGTTTAGTTAATAAACTATTTTTTGATGTCTCTTATGTTTAGCTGGAGTGGAAGTAACATCAGATGGGGACAGCCTTTCCGTCTTCGACATATTACAACAGGAAAGTATTTGGCTCTGCATGAAGATGAAGGAGTTGTAATATTAGATAGAGAAAAGTCAGACACAACATCTACTGCTTTTTGTTTCAGAGCATCAAAGGTAAATAACATCAGTTCAAATTTGTTCTAAATGTGGAGCACTCAAATACTAAATCTGAGTTGTTTCAACAACTGTATAAATTACTTACCATTTTTAAATTGAAGTAATTGACAGGGATTATTCATTGAAATACAAAGGTAAACAACTGAGTCAAGAGTAACAAAGGTCTCCCTTAGAAAAAATAGGGATGATTAAGAAATTTACAAATAAACTAAACTGTTACCACATTTAAAAAACAAGATTGAAAACAAATACAATGCAAGACAGAGTGATTTAATATGAATACTTTAATAATCATAGAATCATTTTAGTTAGACAGAATCTCATTAGTGTTATACGTTCAAGCTCTATCTGTTGAATTCAGTTTAGTTGCTATTCTTTGTGCAGTGTGTTGATGGGAACTGAACTGAACTCAATCGAATTTTTCCTCAATGCAAGGAAAATGTAGTCAGTGATTTCTAAACCATATATTTTCAAACTATGCTCTCTAGTGAGCTGCTAATTGCATGTTACTAGCTTTATCATCATTTCCAGCTGGGACAAACAATACAAGGGAGAGAGAATGAAGAATGATTGTGGAGGTAGGAGAAATTAATAAATTTTTTTCCCAGAAAGTGAAAGTTTTTTATAATCAACGATGATTAGAAGTTTTTATTTGTTTTCATGATTTTCCTTATAAATAGTTGCCATAGTTGCTACAATAGTGTTTTTTATTAACTATGAAAAACTACATTTTCCACCTAATTATGAACGCTGTATGGTCCCTGAAGGGCAGTGAGAATGAATCTTTGAAGTTAGTTGTATACTATATAAAATCTAGCACTAAGAGTCTTGACAGATGCTAGACTTTTGTTAGTGTTCTTAGCATGTTTAAAATAATGATGTTTATTAGTGTGACTGCATATGATATTTCATGAATTTTTATTTTAGCCAATTAAAATAATTGAAAAACTATCAGGAAATTTCCTCTGATTGCTAGTTTCTCACCAAATAGTTTTTCATTCTTTACTCAGTATAAAGGCTATGCAGTGCAGATTGTACATATGATGTTGTGCAGGGGCATTTATTACAGCTGTAATTTTTTCCGGGGACCCCGGTAGTCTAGTGGTTAGGATGCGGCGCTCTTACCGCTGCGGCCCGGCTTCAACTCCCGGTCAGGGATACTCCCCCGGGCAGATGGAGCTCGTCAGCCCTGTGAGGCCATCCATCTATGAGAAGGTCACTCTAAACAAACCTATGTCCTGAGGATCTCACTGCCATTGTCCAAGCTTGCTTGGCCCTGGCAGATGAACCTTAGGATTAAAGGGTGGGCTCAGTTCAGCGCATGCTGTGTCTCACCTAAAAAATCCATTGTGCAGGCTGGAAAGGTAAAAGACCTTTCCCAAAATCTTCGTTTGTGAAGACTGGCCATACTATAAATGTATAAATTTTAAGTATATATACTTAATGGGTTTGTATGCATATTAGTAAAATAATTTCTGTTACATTGATTAAACATTCCCTATTTTCATACTCTTTTTGTTGAGGTGTGACTCAAAGGCCCATTAGTGAAATTTATTACAGTGTCCAAGATGACTAAGCTGAAGTACAGTAGTAATTATTTATGCAGAAGTCATTCATGTCTGCTGTGTTTATGCATAATATGGTTGTTAATGTACATTTTTTTTTTGTATTAAATACAAGCTCAGTGTCTAATCATCCTGTCCTATATGTGCTGTCCTATTGGGGACCCCTGGTGGCCTAGTGGTTAGCATGCAGGACTCTCACTGCTGCGACCACGGGTTCGAATCCCAAGTCCCCCGGGCAGATGGTAGCTCGTTAGCCCTGTGAGGCCATCCATCTATGAGAAGGTCACTCTAAACAAACCTACGTCCTGAGGACCTCACTGCCATTGTCCAAGCTTGCTTGGCTCCGGCAGTTGAACCTTAGGATTAAAGGGTGGGCTCAGTTCAGCGCAGGCTGTGTCTCACCTAAAAAATCCATTGCGCAGGCTGGAAAGGTAAAAAGACCTTTCCCCAAAATCTTCGTTCGCGAAGACTGGCCATTATTATATGTGCTGTCCTATAGAGAAAAGCACATTTCTATCTCAAAATATGTTATAAACTTGCTTTTTTCTGTGCAAAGAATAAGAATAGTTATTAATTGTCTGGACAGGTAAGAGCTGCATTGTCCCATGGTTAGAGATATTAGTATTTCAAAAGGTGAAGGTAACAAGCAGTAATAACTCTTCCTGAAGACAGAAAGATGAAGTTTTGGAAGGGAATAAGCCCCAAAGATTGATGTGGACTGTAAGAAGGAAGGGGCTCTTTCAGCCAAGTGCTGATGGCATACATATTGAGAGGAAAAACAGCCATAGAACTAACAGTTAGACTAGATATATGCAATATATATATTTTATCTTAATTTCTGCACGTATGTATTTGTAAACCTTTGATTGGTTCATTTTCTCAATGAAGAAATATTTTCACTTGCCTGGACTTTAATATGGCATGAATTCAGGGAATATATACCTCTATGTCCATCTGTGTACAGATTCTTAAAAATAGAGTGCTGGAATACCTGTCTGTTTACAGCACTCCTCTCCTTTAAACTAATAGAGTAATTTTAATTGGAAAGGACCCTGTGAAGTCATCTAGTCCAGTCCTCTGCTCCGGATAGGGTCAACACTGAATTCAGACCAGATTGCTCACATTAAACACTGCTGCAGAGTATCCAAAAGGAAATAAAACATTTTTCCATTGCAGTATTCTTTCCTGTTTGGAAGACAGCAAATATCTCTTTTGTAGAAAAGAGGTATTACCTTTGCCAGAAGGCAGAGCTATGTGGAATATACAAATCCCTCAGGCTTCCCAGGAGCCTGTAACACATGACTTAAATAAAGTCTTTTTTTTCCAGGAGTTGTTATAGAGACCTTCTTGTTGAAAAAGCACCTTCATCCTCATTAGTGGTACATTCCAGCAGTCTTGTCTGTTCCTTGCTTTTCAAAATCTGTGATTGCATTCATAATTTACTTTCACTGCTTTTTTTTCCCTTTTGCTGGCTAGCACTGGAAATTGAAACAGTTGTTTTAAATTATAAAATTCAAATTAGTGTTTTCCTTACTATGTCCTCACATAAATAAGAACAGAAGGGAACTTATAAAAAAAGTTAAGGAATATGCTAAAGAACATCATGGTGCTGATTTCAATGAAAACAGCATATGTAATATGTGCCTGTTTACTGCAAATTACTGCAAACTAAGCTATAAGTATCAGAAATTGATGGAAAGCCCCCAAAATTACATCTTTTATTGGTTTTAATATGGAGCTTACTTCTGACCAAGTTTTAAAATGTGAATCTTTATATTTTAAGGCAACAGATCTGTAATGCCTTGTGACAACAGAGACAGCAGTTTCTCTACACCAGATGGAATCCTGTTTTGAAATGGGATGTTCTCATTCCAGCACAGTACTTGGCTCAGTATACACTGCTGAGCAGAATCTTGGTTCTACTTAGAAATTTCTTTGAGACTAAACACAGCGCAAACGAGAGTATATTTAAAAATATTTGTTTATTTTAAATTTTTGTATCCCAGAACTAATATTTGAGATTTCATACTTTATTTTAGTTATGATATATAAAATTGACAATAAAAATTTATTGGTATAGCCTTGGTAAGTAACATTCTGACACATTCAAAAGTCACAGATGACTCATGCAAAAGGATTTGATATCATTTCAATATTACTACCAGCATGTAGCTGTCTTAGGGACTCAACATGGCATTAGGATGTTGTAATAGTTTAGTAGTAATCATAAAGATTAATTTGGTTTTTGAATAAGATGATAGGTATTACTGAGTCCTTTACCTACATCTGTCTCTAAAAGTTCAAGTACTTACTTTTAAGTTTATAATTTAAAATTGTAATTTCTCTGGAAGCACTGCATTTCCAATAGAGTATGTACAGAGTACAATAAGTTAGGTCAAAGTATCAGTCCTTTGCTGTTATATCTGTAGACTTTTAACTTTTTCTTTTGTTAAATTTGAGGATGTATGGCAGTACTTTTATTGCAATAACAGTGTGCAAAACTAAAAGATAAAATTTTCATTAGCTTACGCAAGTTAGATTTACTAGGAGTTCAGCAGACAGCTTTTTTACCATTCTTCGGGGTGCCTAAGCAAGCCCTTAAGATATCAAAGTTTTTCCCCTACTGTGTTTTTACTATTGAAAAAATCTTTGTAAAGGCAGTTGGCTTTATTTGTTCTGTTCACACTGTGATTCCTTACCTTCTTTCCATCACATAGGAATCTATGATTCCATGAATTTTCTCACTGATTCTTGCTCTTCCTCTAATATATTAAATATCTTTCAAAAATATCCTCTTTGACAGCTTTGCCCTCAAATTCCTGTGTTCATTCCATTTTTCTTTTTTTTTTATTGATTCTTTTTTTGGTATTGTTGTTTTTCCTGTGCCATCTTCTAGGCCCATGATGTGATTTGTTTTCTTTGATTTGATTAATTCACATCTGGAGGGAGTTAAACTGAGAAGAGGTTGTGAAGAGAGGATTTTAAAAGAGAAAGTATCTGGATATTTTACTGCTAAAATATGTTCAAATATTTAGATAAGAGATTTTTTTTCCCCTCCTCCCCCGGTAATCTTTATCTGACTATACTTTTCAGCTGTTGTAAAATACACCCTGTCTTTGCGATCACACTGTGATCAAATTACTTGGCTGAAATCCTAGAGAAATTGGACAGAGAGCAAGGAGCAAAACATGATGAAGAGGAATTTATGCTGTATTTATTTTAGACCTTCAGGCCCTCAAAATAATTCGAAAGCTTTATTTCTGAAATTCAAATTCTTGGTTTTTTCTGTATGTTTAATGTTGTCAAAAAAGGTCAGTATCACTCAATTTTTTTCAAAACAGTAACTTCACTAGGATTGCTTGTTACCAAATTATGATTTCAGATGCAGATGCAATATTTGAAAAAAAAGTGTTTTAATATTCAGGATGCTGTGTAGAGTCAAAGAAGTAATTGCTGACAGTTAATGAATTTTTGCTATTTTATTGTATTTTTCATTTAATGACCTTATGGCAAATGTGTATTGAAATAATTCCTCTTTATTCATACGTGATAGTGCAGGCCACACAAATATGATGTGACATGATTTCCTCATAATCTTCACATTGCAATGGTAACCCTGAAGAATGTCTTATAATTTCATTCAATTTTACCTTGACATTATAATGCTACCTGTTCCAACTAAAATTATTGTTGAAATGGGACAGTTAAATTCTGTATAAATGAAAGCAGATTAGCAAGGCTAGAATACAACTTCTGTTTTCTCTACAGATGTTGAAAATTTGGTAACCTGAAATGAAATAAAAAGAAAACCCTGTTATACATATAAAAATTTAGACTGTGTATCAGTTCCTAACATATTTTGTTTAGTTAACAAGTTAACAACTATCTACACTTAAGTCCATTAGCAGTTGAAATCATAGAAAACTGATGTTCTTTAATTACTCTATTTTCTTAAATTTTTTTTGTTGAATCCCATGTATCCATAATTGGTTATTACAAAATTTACGTCATAATTCTGTTCTTATTCCTGAATTCAGTTGTGAAAGGATGAATATTTTATTTTAAAGAAAAAGATACTTGCTTTTATGCTGGGATCTTAAAATCCTCTAGTCGTAAATGAAGAAGAATAGGATTAAGAAATAGTTTGGGTTTAAGAACTGGGTGTTCTAGCTAAGCATTGAGCAATATCTTTAAAAGAGTTTTGAAAAAATCCAATTCTTCTTACAAAGTTAATAAATAAAATAATAAAATAAATGTAAGAAACCTAAGAACTTTACAAATAAGGTAAAGGTAAAAGCCAAACTGTACTTATTTTTAAAATTAGTATTTTCTTTTTTTGCTGGTTGTTGCAATACAAACATATTATCCAAGTGAAGTGTTTATCTGTATATACAATTTATAAACAAAAAATTCTTTTGCATAAAAATATTTTATCTGCATTTCAAAATAGGTTTCTGTTTATTTTTATTTTTTCATGTGTAAGCTAAAATTCAAGAATGTTGGTTATATAGAGTTTTACAGACTCTCAAACTGAAACTTTACTTACATCAGTAACTCCACTATTGATCATGTTAAGTTAAACATTTAAATATTTTTTTAATATTTAAAGATTTTCCTTGATTTTTCTTGCTTCAGAGAAAAAGATGCTTGAGATTTGAAATTAATTTTAATCACAAACTGAATAATTAATTATAAAGAAAGAAAAATTATGTTAAGTAAAATTTAGCTCTGTCTTAACAGCATAAGTAGCATAAACATTGTTCAGGATTGTAATATATATTCAGTGTAGAAACATAACCTATTCCAGTACAGAGATTGAATGCCAACTTTATTTTATCTTCCTAGGAGCTAAAAGAAAAGCAGGATTCTAGTCTCAAACGTGACATTGATGGAATGGGACTCCCAGAAATAAAGTATGGTGATTCAATCTGTTTTGTCCAACATGTGGCCACTGCCTTATGGTTGACTTACAAAGCACAGGATGCTAAATCAGCACGTTTAGGTCCCTTGAAAAGAAAGGTAATATTTGATATTCTTTTTAATTACTTGTGAAATGAATGTTAATTTCATAATAGTTTGTGGGTTTAATTGTTTTGTGCTGCTATATTGAAAATGTGAGTATTTCATTCTAAAAATGTAAACAGTGTTGGATATTAACATCACTACATAACTGAAGAAAAAACTTTGCCACTAAGAAATGTGTTTAACTATTTTTCTTGTCAGAAGAAATTATTAATTTTTGCTAAATTTTTATTTTTGACACCAGTAAAAGATGGAAATTCCTGATTTGAATGGTCAAATAATTTTGAAAAACTACATCGAACTGTTATAACTGGTGTAAACTTGTAAGTCATCTTACATTCACTGATGTTTTAGATTTTTTTATTGAGTATATTGTGTGAAATGGCAATTAAATTTGTTACTTAAGAAATGGCTCTGGAAAATCCTCAAATTTCTTAAGAGATATTAGTGAATAATTTCCTCCGCAAATGTTAGATGTAATTGTGATGTGACATCAGGAAGATCTTTCACTCAGCCTTTTGATTATAGGGTACGATTATATTCTTAATTAAGGGCATATAATCTGTTAAATCTTCAAATTACATTCACATTTTGTTCAGTATTAAGGGGTTTAATACTAGGTCACATAATTGCTTCATTACCAAATGATTCCTTGATTCTCTATTTGTAGATTTTACAACTTCAGCTTATCATGAGAACAAGAGAAAGGAAAAAAAATGTTCATTACCGAAAAGAAGTTGGAATTCTCTTTTAGTTACTTGTATGTATGTACATTCATAAGAGGATACCCATATACAAGTACTGTAATATGAAACAATGAGATCCGCATCACACACCCTTGGCATAATCAGATTTATTCATATGCAGTACAAATGGTCATCATAAATGGGTAGTGAGTGCCCAACCCCTTCAGTTCTCAGCAACCTGGCTGATCAGAGAAATTCTTTATATGCCAGTCATTCAGTATTCTCTTGATAAAAAATTAAATCACACAATGATAGCCTCTTCATTTCCCGTGCCAGAACTGGCTATGGCATTCTGTTTCCTCAGAGCATCCAATTTCACTTCTTGAAAAGGCAACATGGAGATTTGTGCTCTCTATTCAATGAAGAATTTTACAATAGCTTCCAGTTTAGTATTTTGTTTCCCCAGTTTTCTTCTCAGCAGCAAGGGTCTAAAAGAACCTCCATAATTGCCTGTCACTTTTATTCTCCTTTGAAACCGTTTCATTCATGTTCAAAGTCTTCGAATCTTTTGTTGCCCTCTCACCTGGAGAATTCTATCTTTTTAACACCTTCAAACAGAAGAAAACCCAAACCTTCTAGCTTCCAGTAATTGATATTTCTGTGGAGGCAAAAAAAAAGTTTTTTATCCTCTGCAATGCATTATACTAGACTATAATTTTTTAAGGAAATTTAGATGTATAAAAAAGGATGCTTTTTTTTCACACAACCTAGCTATTATCACTGTCAGCTGCTGCAAATCCATAGAGAGGAGAAAAGAACTATGGGATTAATTCTGTTACAAAATACTAAAAATTCCCAGTAAAAACTTCTGGGGTTTTGGTTTTTGATGCAGTTTCATGTACCTAGTACAAAGTACTGTCTTTGCAAGACACTAATAAAAAGAAATTCTGGCATCATTTTTGGGGCTTTTCTTGCATATTTCTACAAGAATTGTTATTTGTTTTATCTCTCTCTGAGATTGTGGTAAACAAGGCTTCAAGACTTTGCCAGGTAATGATGATGTTTACATCAATGTTCTAGTCAACATCCCCACACCATCCAGTGAGTGATGGTTGTCTGTCTTTTCAGTTTGAGAGTTTGCTTTTGTGCAAGCTATGAACTCCTGCAGAGCTCCAAAATGTTAGAGGTCAGAGAACAGAGAAACGTATGCTGTATGTTTTGGATTCATTTTCTGGAGGCCATTGCTCAGGCTGTTCATCAATGTCTTGCTGTACCTCAACAAGCAAGACAGTGCCAAATGCCCCTTTTTATATGCAAAGAAGTGTTTTATCTGGAGAACTGATGTAGACAGTGCTGAATGCTTCTGTCTGTGATCTACTCGCTGGAGTTCTAAATCGCACTTTCCTGTCATTGTGATGTTTCTGGATGATTCAGTTGAGGTTTGAGTTATTTGTTGGTTTTCTGTTTTTTTTTTGGTGAGAGAAGTAGGAAAGATTAGTCCTTCTAAAAGACTCCACTCTTTCCTGATCTGCTGCATGCTAAGGAAGAAGAGTACATATCTGCTCCACAATGGTGATGCAATTACTTTGCAAGGCATGGCAGCTTTTATATCCAGTCTGTCAAATGTTTCCATTCCTGTAGCTCCAAAACTTAGAGCTACATACAATGGCCTGAAGAAACATTATCTGAATGTCAAATATTTTCTTACTAGTTTTGTGATGGGAAGAGCAGCTCTTCAGTGTTTGTTCAGTTTAGGGACATCAGGACCCTTCTTTATGTTAAATAATGGTATTCAAGTTAGCAAAGGCACCAACAGTGTGATTCTATATTTAAAAAGTATTTGAACCAAGAGAAAAGATGACCAAAATGTAAACTAGTCTTCTTTAAGATAAAATTATTAATGTAATCATTCAAAAATACCTTCCCTGTCTTCTCCATCATATTTCCATGGATTCTGGTGTCCATAAAAACTCACAGGGTGACGTTTGTCTCTTTTAAAAGCAGTTCCTCAGCATGTTTGATGGAACAGAGCACATGTGTACTCTAGATTCTGACAAGTATAGAAAAATATCACTTACTAGTGCTTTTGATATACCTATACACTAGTATGTACAAAAAGTTGTTGGTAAATAACTTTCCCATTTGTGGCAGTAATTACTTGTATAACTATTAGTTTCTTTGTTAACTACTCAGTGCCTTCAGAGTTACTCTGCTAACTGGTCAGTTGCAAATTTTTACTAACTCAAAGCTAAAAAAATACATTTTTCAATGGAGAATTCAGTAGATTACCTCTTGGACAAAGAAGCAGGATAGCTCATATTTACTTCTTACAAAATTGCTGTAGGATTTTAATGACTCAAAATGACCAAGACTTTTTTTTGTGATACCTAAAAATTATGTTGTGTTTTTGTGATATTGTGTGTTTATTTAAAGGGAAAGATTAAAACCCTACCCTACCAAAGGATCTCTATTATTGCTTGAAGTTCATATGGTGTTCACATCTGGTTCTGATAAGAATCCAACCTAGTGTGTAGAAATAGTTAAATGAGTCAGAAGTTGCTCATAAACATTATAGCACCTTTAGCTGCACTGTAATTTTTATGATGTTTATCACTCCAGCTTGATTTTTCTTGTCAATAGTCTTTTCATGGATGAATCCTTTAGTAAATGATGCTTAAGATAGTGAAGATCCTCTTTCCCTGACAGACAGAATATAAGAAAAACAATATTTTTATTTTAATTGGAAAATATCTGTTAAGCATATCTTTTTTAATGAATTGTGGAAGAATAAATGTCTTCTCTGAATAACTTATGTGAAACTGAAAAACTTGTAGCTATTTAATGGGTGCCCAGATAAAGTGATTAACAAATAGTAGCTCCGTTACCATACCAAATATACCATTAGTGTTTTCAGTGCAATACTGAAATTGGGGACCCCTGGTGGTCTAGTGGTTAGGATGCGGTGCTCTCACCGCTGCGGCCAGTGTTCGATTCCCGGTCAGGGATACTCCCCCGGGCAGATGGAGCTCGTCAGCCCTGTGAGGCCATCCATCTATGAGAAGGTCACTCTAAACAAACCTACGTCCTGAGGACCTCACTGCCATTGTCCAAGCTCGCTTGGCCCCAGTAGATGAACCTTAGGATTAAAGGGTGGGCTCAGTTCAGCGCATGCTGTGTCTCACCTAAAAAATCCATTGTGCAGGCTCAAAAGGTAAAAAAAGACCTTTCCCAAAAATCTTTGTTCGCGAAGACTGGCCATACACAGCAATACTGAAATGTTACAAAATATTTAAATGTAGAAAGCGTTTTAAAGTAACTATTGTGATAATTATTGATTTCAATAGGTTATATTACACCAAGAAGGTCATATGGATGATGGTCTCACATTACAAAGATGTCAGCATGAGGAATCCCAGGCTGCTCGAATCATTCGCAATACTACAAGCTTATTCAGCCACTTTATAAGGTAGTTGTTACCACTCTGTTTTTTAAAGTATTCTGAAATTATAAGAATTTCTCCAAGAGCATACATATTTCCTGCTTTCAAATATTTGAATTTAGAAGCTATTAGCAATGTATTTTTACTGATTTACATTTACAATTTTGATTAGTAATGCCATTAAATAGATAAAACAGTTTATTTAAGATTATTTACATGAAATCTAAGACTTTGAAGTTAGAATCCAGAAGCTGGATCCTAAGTTGAAGAAAACCTGCTAAATTATCTCAGTCTAACTCCATTCACAAGTATTCTATGATACCTAGAACTTTGTATAAGAATATACAATGAAATCTGTAAGAATGTATGTAGTACTGAAGAAACTGTTTTTTCATAGTGCTTAGCAGAAGTTTTAATTATGATGATCAAGTGGATATCCTTGTATTACTACCTACTTGATGAAAAAAGTAAAGGAAAATGAGTTTGTAATTAAATATTTCCTTCCAAAGAAGCCACTATACAAGTATATGTACATTGCTTCAGTATCTCAAGGGCCTACTCTACTCCTTTGTATTTCTTGGGCTGAGGATGTGAAAACAGAGCCACCTTTGCCAGCAATCGGCTCCTCCTATTTATACTAGTGAGTCAGGCCATGGAAAATTGGGTTGTCACACAAGATTGAGAAAGTATTCAAACAGGAAAGAGACATTATTTTACCGACAACTGACATACCTTGAAATGCTTTCCATTTTAAAATCCCACCCTTCCTTATTTCCTATATAGAATAGATACAGAAGACCTAATTCATGGTTAGGATTACCTGTTATTTTTGTGTTCTTTTTCTAGAAGACTGGGCGTGTATAGCTTCAATAACTGGTACTATTTTAGCCCATCTGCACATTACATCTAAATCATCAATAGGGATTTAAAGTATCTAAACAAAATCAATTACCATAAAACTGTTTACATCAGTGCAGAAAGGGAAGCATGATTCCACTTCTGGAAGCTGTGAGTGCTGGGCACACAAATAATAGGTGTTTGAATGATGTTCAGTTCAGATCATCTGTTGTTCATATAAATATAAGCATATGTCATATGTGTAACAAAACTTGATTTAGATACCAACAGAAAATTGGCTGCTACACAATATCGTAAATTACAGTGGGAAAATTATTAATGCTGCCAGTCTTTTTTGTTGTTTTCCATAGTGGAAACAACAGAACACTATCACCCTCTGCCCTGCCTGTTGAGGAGATGGCTCAGACTCTGCAAGACCTTATTATATACTTCCAGCTTCCCGAAGAAGACCTGCAACATGAAGATAAGCAAAACAAACTCCGCTCACTCAAAAACAGACAAAATTTATTCAAAGAAGAGGTACAGAGAGAGGAATCGTTACATTATTTTAATTTCAAGTGTATTGTGCCACAAACATTGAGAAGAATGTAAACATTATCATCTAGATGTATACATATGTTCTGTAATGTTCTGTAGCTGATAGATATATATATACACACACACACACTTGTCACAGGCTACAAACCCTCTGTTATAAAATTTGATCTTGATACTTCTGAGCATCTTTAAACAGATGTCATTTTTGCAAGAAACAGTTTTGACAAGAAATTTCCTTTTCTCTCTATGAAGTTATAGAAGTTGGATACCCCAAATGAATTATAAAATCTGGATCAATAATAGATGTTATTTCTGATGTCTTTTCTGCCCACCAGGATGTAAATCAGTAACTTTTTATCACTAGAAACTGGAAGAATGCTTGCTTTAGGGAAGGATGTGTATTACATAATTGTTGAATTCTCCTCTCTGAAAACAGAATAACTACATTTCTGTACAAATAGTAAACATATTTTACAATGGTTTTAGGCATGTTTGAATTGCTTGCAGGTTTTCAATACCATTTGAGTCTGCAATCAAACTGAAGTTAAAAATCTCTTTCAGTATTTAAAATTGTTTTTACAGATATTTTATTGGATAGTAAAATTTCTACCTTTTTTATCAACAAAATTTCCTTTTTATATAAATTTAAAGGGTTTTCTTCTTATGCAAGGAAGATTTTATGTAAAAAAGGCTGTACATTAAAAGCCTTTATTGTCAGCTTTTTTTCCTTATTTTTTATAATACTTAGATGAGTAAGGAACAATATTGAATCATTCTCTAAAAGGAATTATTTTATACAGAAATATACATATTCAAATCTTGTAAACACAATTGTTGTTTTGCTGTTTGTTTTTTTGAAATTTAAGATAATGCAACTTTCCAATTTATAATGGAAAAAAATCTTTCTAAAGGGCAACAACAAATACCTTTTTATGTACAGTTCACTTTCTGTCACATGTGTTTAGGGAATGCTGGCACTAGTTCTGAATTGCATTGATCGCTTAAATGACTACAACAGCACAGCTCATTTTGCAGGAATTGCAAGAGAAGAATATGGTACTGCATGGAAAGAAATTTTGAATCTCCTTTACAAATTGTTAGGTAAGTTCTTCAAAAACATACTAATGTAAAAAAAAAAACAGGATATGTAATCTTTATGTACTGCTTGCTGCTTCACCATCAAAGACCATTGACCAAAGATGGTCAAATAACATCATTGTGTTATTCACTCCATCGTATAAATTACAGATTTTCTTCCGTATACTTACTGCTATTTATTACAGAGAAAAGAGTTTATTGAGCAATGATACAGCAGAAAAATAGATCTCAGCTAGGAAAAAGTTCCATGAAGCATGCCAAAAGCTTTTTTTTTAAAATAATTGAAATGTACCTGTGGTATGCAAATAGATGTGAATTATTATTTTAAAAATTAGAGAAACTGGAAAACAGTCTTTGTATGTGAAGCTGAAAGAAGTCTAAAAGTAATAGTCAGGTCTGCTGACCTCAATGTTTGTTACTTGAGGCTTAGATTTAAATGTTAATAAAAATAATTATATTAAACAGAAGTGGAAATATTTTTTTCCAATGGTTTTCATGGTTTCTAGAGCAGACTACTGCTGTGTTGTAGAAGGGCCAAAATTATAGAGCAGGAAAAATATTTATATGTATATTTCTTTAAATTTCTAGTTTGATACTGATTTGTGTTATTCCTCGTATAGGAGAATCTTGTCTTCTAATGGAGTTTACATACATTCTAATTTCATTACAAAGGAAGTTAGTCCTGAACCACAGTAAAATAAGCAAGTCGAGAGTCAGGACAATAATAAAAGAAACGAGGTGAAGTACTTTGAAGCATGAGGTTATTGACATAGCACAGACATGCAGGTGCTTCAGGTGAAGTCTTCTCATTGCTTTAGAAAGTAGAAAGTTACCATTACCTGCATTTTACTTTAGTCTATTTTACTTTAGTCTTATGAACTTAAAGAAAAGTAGGATGAAAAAAGTGTTTTCAGTGCTATGTAGGCCTTTTTCAGATCAAAATCTGAAATCTTGATTTTCATCTGCAGGTACATTTTGAACACACTTGTTCTGATGTAATAAATATTAATGCTTCATAATAAAAATCCTTGACAACTGTATACAGAAGGTGCTTTTTTGTTGCTTTTTTCCCCTATGATCAGTAATAACTTCTAGATGAAAAAAAAAAGTGTTGCTTGAAAGACTTGATCGTTGAACTTTCAAAGTGCAGTCAAATAATATTGCATTCTGCACTACTGAAATGCTAAAAGCTATGCATTCTATAACTTGTTGTAATCAGAAAGTAGAACTAAACAGCAGTGAACACAACCGGCACCTCATCTTAAACTTCTACCTATGATCTTCCCACTCTTGGTAGGGAGAAATAGAAAAAGAAGTATTTCAGCCCTGTGATCATGACAGTGCTTGACATATGCATTAAGCAAGGGTGGTGGATAACATCTATTTAAATTTAAGTACAAAATAAAGCATAAACAAAACATATAATTCCTGTTTATCCAGTAGATCCCAGTCAACTTCAAAAACTATGTGCTCTCTAGAAGTTATGTCAATTGCTGATATTCAAAATAATGAAAATCTTGATTCTTTAATACTGTAACATATGTGGACCTGTTTGTTCATTATTTCATGAAGTTACTCTAAAAAAAGTGTTAAAATGCATATGATAAACATTGATGACTTCAAACGGAAATCTCCTGTTATAAAATTATACCTTGTGTTTTTTCCAGCTGCTCTCATTCGTGGCAACAGAAACAATTGTGCTCAATTTTCCAGTAACCTTGATTGGTTAATCAGTAAATTGGATAGATTAGGATCTTCCTCAGGTGAGACTCACTTTTACAATGTAAATTAATTATCAGTTGATGTCTGTCTTACATTATTGTCAGAGCAGTTTCCCTTGAAACCAACATGCGCTAGAAAATAAATATGCTGTTGGGTTTTTTTGGCTGGTTGGGTTTTTTTGTTTGCTTGGGTTTTTAAATTTAAAAAGGTAATACACTTAGAGACATTTCTGTGACATTTTTTGGTTCCATGTGTTTGGTCTGTGCAATGCCACATCCAATGAATTTTGAACATGACTTGGGTGAATTAATGGATTGGGTAAGACAGTATCAACACTACTGCACCATTAAATAACACCAGTTTGTGGAGATGCATACAAAACCCATGAAGATATAGATAACCGGGGTTTTTTCACTATGAAATATTCAACAAAATATTGATATATTATACAGTGCTCCCTATTAAAACCTTTATGTCTCTCATTGAAAAGAAGGAGTTAAACTTGCAATTTTCTGAAGTGGTTTTAAAATTGTGGCTATTTTCAAAAGAAAACAGGAATTAACAGCTTTATTAGATGTTTGTTCCTAATGTGTATTAATCATATTAATACTCCTTGAAAGTGTTTTCATCCTCTTTTTAGTCTGGAGAAAAGATAGCATCTTGTAAGATACACATTCACTGAGCTTTTAGATTGTGTTCAATTGTGCAGGTGATTTAATGACAGCATTGTTTCTGTGGCCTTTATATAGGCATTTTGGAAGTATTGCACTGCATCTTGATTGAAAGCCCAGAAGCTTTAAATATAATATCTGAGGAACACATCAAATCCATTATTTCATTGTTGGATAAACACGGGCGAAATTACAAGGTATGTTTGGAAAAAGTAAGAATGTACTGATAATCTTGCAATCATTTGGGGGGGTGTGGGGAGGGGGAAGAGAAATTTCTGTGTGGAAATATGTAATTGTAGTACCCTTAAAGAAATCAAATAACCTCAAAGTACATCTGCAAAGTTGCTTTCTTGAGATTAAAAGAATGTGTAATATACAATTGCTTTTCAGAAATTTTCAAATACAGCAAATATGTCTGACAAGCAAATAGTTAAGAAATATTGGTAACCAATCAGAACATTGGATTTGCTGAGAAAATGAAGCATTCTCGTGGCTGTAAGAGAGTGGGCAGAGTAACTTGCTTTGTGACGGAGGGCTCTGCAGAAGCAGTGGACTACCTTTGATCTACAGAAAGAGAGAACTATATCCTGCAGAGTAATTTGTAACTAGAGTAATAATAATATTAGCAGAAAAAAAAATAAAATGAGAAATCAGAAAAATAATCCAAATATCTGAAAACACAGGTGTTCAGAAGAAAGAAAAAACCCCTGAGTTTCCAGAAGAAATACTGGATGAGATTAATTTAGACAACAATATGCAATTTATTATGATAGAAGAAGGTGAACAGAGTTTCTGGCTGCGATCAGGATGACATCCCAACACAGACGAAGATATAGGTTTATGTGTGATTTTCTGATGTGAGTTTCCTTCCTCAATTAAAATTTTATTTGAAAGACTGATAACCTCGAGGAAGAGCAGAAAAAGTTTTAGTGAGCTGAAATTACCTTCTCCTTTAAATCAGTAATACAGAGAACCTAACCAACTACAGTAAAGGAGAACAGTACTATTAAGCATGGTTAAGGAGCACAAACTGATATAAGTAGTCATAAGAAAATAAATAGAAATTGCAGCAGTAAGCTTAGTTTATTTTTAGCTCTTAGCAAGATTACTGGGCTATTCCAGTCACCTACAAAGAACCTTTCAGCTGTAATATCTTAATGTAGGCATTATAGAGAGAACTTACAGCAGAAAAAGAAAATATGTACATAGGAGAAAAACTATACTGGGTAAAGGATTTGTACCCTTCTATTTGTAATGTCTTTGACTAAACCTCAGTCAGTAATGGGAAGTAATGAATTTATTTGTTACTCCACAAACAATATACCTTGTTCTCCTGCTAGATTAGATATTCTGTTGAGATTTGGGGAATAAGAAACAATACTATTAATAAGTGACATTGTCTTGGGAATTTTTGATTTGAAGGATTTCTTAAAATGAAAAGCCTTGTGTCAGAACTACAGTCAGCAAACTCACAGAGATTATTTAAACAGTTTACATGTAAATTCTGAGTTACTGGTAATCATTAATGTTACTATATTGCTTTACAGCTGAGTACCAGTCAGAGTTTATGTAGTTCTTTAAGTTATTGCCTCTACCCTTCTGCTAGAGGTTTTTGCCCAACAGCAGAGATGGTAGGAAGGAAAATGCATGGGCTGGGACATAGAAAAGTCCACAATATATTAGCTTAAACTGCTGTTGATGGTGTGTTTGTGCTTAAATTCACTGGGCAGATGAGAGCGGTAGCTAAAATGAATGTTATGTTCTGCTGCCCCTGGTGTAGTACAATAGTTTCCAAAATGGTAATCAACAGTGTGAAGATGTGTCTTTATCTTTTAGGTGATCTGTAGCAGTCTAGAACATTTGGGCTCATTGCTCAAAGATTCTTTATCACAGCTCAAGTACATCTTTAAGCTTCTCTGTTATTTTGTGGAAGTGTGCAGCTTTGCCCCTTAGCATTAAACAACGCTATGTTACTGTGTTCTCTCTAGCAAAACCTTTTGCTCCAGTAATCTGTGGGAGAATTATGTCAATCTCTTTCAATTTTCAGACTAAAACAAAACAAAAAGAAATTAGAAGTTTAAGATCTTCCTGAAATTCTGTTTTGCTTTATGGCGAATCCTCTCAAGAGTTTTTAGTTTTAAAAATAAATGGATTATTTCTCATATAGAAAATATTCTTTTCAGAAGAGATTCATAAGCAGTCAGACAAGTGCTGTTGAGAATCGTCCACTAATTTTGCACTGAAATTTTTTTTGACTGCAGGAAATTTATCAAATAATTCCATTTTACATTTCAAAATTTAAAAGAGATTTAATTAAAAATTGTAAAGAGTTGACATACAGCTGTTCTAGCTTTGATTTTTTCTAATCAAAAAGGGTATCACAAAGGAAGGTTTTTGAGGCATTTTTCAAATCCTGTGTTCAGAATTTCTGTTCCATGAATGTTTGATATTCTCTATCACTAGTATGGACTACACTTGGTCCATATATGTGAAAAGTATTTAGAAAACAATAATGGTAAAGTACATTATATTCCTTCCTTTAGGTCTGTTCTGAATGTAAATTAAGCTGTCAACTGAATAGTAGTATATGCAGTTAGCTGCCTTTACCCTACTTTTTTCTGATTTTTCTTTTAAGGTTCTCGATGTGCTTTGCTCTCTCTGTGTCTGCAATGGAGTTGCAGTTCGTGCCAATCAAAATTTGATTTGTGACAATTTACTGCCTAGAAGAGACTTACTTTTGCAAACACGTTTGATTAATGATGTGACAAGGTATAGTGACATGTTTTATTGTTATATAAAAAAAAAATGGAACTTCCATATCTTCAATAATTAATTGGAGGAAATACTGTAACCTAAGAAATGTCCCATAGTTTTAAATATTGAGACACACACTTTGGGAAGCATTTATGTATTATGTATTAACTTCTGAAAAAAACATTTTTACTAACAATATGGCATTTTGTAATGAGAACTGTGCTCCAATAGAAATTGTTAATTAGTAGTAAGATCTGTTCTGAAATTGAAACGTGAAAGTTGCTTGTTTCTGAGTCAAAACAGAGCATGGAGCATGTAAACATACTGTGAAGTACTTCTGTGTTTTAAGAGGGATATGAATTCCTTGCAACCTCACTTTGATTTTCGGAAATGATCCTGTTATTTCTCGTTTGACTGTAAGTTTTTCAAAGCATGGAACTCTACTTTAGAAGATGATTCTACAGCAGCTTTATAATATTATATAAAATGGGTCACTTTTTATTGTAAAGGAAAATGTGGATATCTACACACTTACTATATTTGTAAAGTGAATTTGACAATTATACAGCAATATGATTAATATGTTGCATTTTATGTTTACACTAACTGGCTTCCATTTTCTTTCTTAGCATAAGGCCAAACATATTTTTGGGCGTTGCTGAGGGCTCTGCACAATACAAGAAGTGGTACTTTGAGTTAATAATCGATCAGGTTGATCCATTCTTGACGGCAGAACCCACCCATTTACGCGTTGGATGGGCCTCTACTTCAGGTTATGCCCCCTATCCTGGAGGTGGAGAAGGATGGGGGGGCAATGGTGTTGGTGATGACCTGTACTCCTATGGTTTTGACGGCCTTCATCTGTGGTCTGGTAAGTACTTTATGAACTACCACTAATCTTTCATTTAGCAGTTACCTACCTTTCCCTTCAGTATCTTTGTTTATATAACATGTTATTTTATAGTGAGCTACATTCAGAACTCTGGTTTATTTAGAAGTTCAGATCAGACTTCTTGACAGAAATGTTATTGAATTATACCAATCAGGCTTTTTAGCAGATAGCTTCTATTTTCATGATTTTGATCAAGGAATGGGATTTTCCAGATCTTGATCAATACTGACTTAATTCTATCTGTTCAAAATCAGTGGGTGCATTGATCTCAGATAAATTAATTCTATATGGATCTACATTTGCATTATTCTTTTACTTTATATCTACAATTGAAGTAAAATGACAGTTATCCTTAGACTTGCTGAAAGATTTAATAAATTGAATTAAAAATTTTATAAGTAGCTTCATAAAAAGACATTTTTTTCAATTAAAAGTAATAGTTGCTACACTATTACCAACTTTGTTATTCTAGTTCTTGTGTGTACAGTCTTTAATTTTGAAGTATCATGCTATTTTTTCTTCCAGATCTTATTTGCATACACAGTAAATGATATTATTTTTTAACTTGTTCAACTTGTGGGTCATGATTTAATGTGCGATTTTCAAGACATGTAGGCAAAATCATTAATTTCCCCTTATTTCTCAGTGCCTTTAAATGCTATGTACATCTAGGTATTCTTTAATTGCTCAGAAAACAATAGTGTGGGATCTTGCAATTAAAAGGTGTGTTTTAAGTACATCACATCTAAATATGCTGAAGTTAATTTTATGACATTAGTTCTACCATTTCCTAATTTGGGGATGTTTCATTTATCAATTATATTAGAATTGTTCTAGCATAAAATGTGTGTGTGCATGCGCACACATAATTAAATATTTTATTTTAGCACTTCTGAACAATTATCCAATGTCAGAAGTTATGTTTTTTGGGAGAAGACTGGGAGGCATCTGTAACATACAGCCATTAGAAATCATTAATACAAAATTAAACTCTAATTAAACCTCAGAAATACAGTAACAGAAAGTCTCTTAAATCTCATCTCCTACAGTAAGGGAAAATTTTGGGTACTTAAACTGCCCTGGAGAGTTGATTCGACTTGTTCTTAAGAAGTTCCGAACACAACAACTGTTTAATTAGACTTGCTTTACAGCTAAAATATAATGTTTTCAAGGGAATTGTTTTGAAAGGAAATTGAAGAGACATTCATTGGATTGAAAAACTGTAGTTATATCTAAATGTTAGATTACTTCAGATGTGTTATCTCTAGTTAATTGCTATTATAAGTGCTGAGTCCTGTGTATGTCTGTAAAGTCTAAACTTCCCAGGTAGTGAAAGTTAAGCTCCCTCTGTTTAGTATATGGCTGTAGTTGATAAAGAAAACCTGGCCCATCAAATTCTTGATCCATTTTTTGATAATTCAGTATACTATTCTGCCTCTTGATTGTGTAAACCTGGATATTGGTCATAATCACAGCTCCAGTAGAATTTTAGAACCATAGAATAGATTGGGTTAGAAGCAACCTTAAAGATCATTTGGTCCAATCCTCTGCCATAGGCAGGGATGCCACCCACTAAACCAGGTTGCTCAGAGCCACATCCAGCCTGGCCTTGAACACTCCCAGAGATGGGGCATCCACAACTTCTCTGGACAAGCTGTTCTAGTGTCTTACCGCTGAATATTCACATATATGTGAATCTGGTATTTCACAAAAACTAAAGAAAAATAGATCTATAAATGTTAGTTTTATAAAAAGGGTATAATTTACTGTGCCTCATTACTCTTGCACCAGCGTGGATGTACATATCAGCTCAGCATGTTCTGTCTTGTGAACAGTGTCAGGGGTTTCAAGTTAATCACTCAGTTTACGCGGTTTTCTACCGTATATCAGTTTTAAGAGTGTTAACTCACTGTTTCTAAAAACAGAACTGTTCATAAAACAGATGAAGGCAAGATCATGTCTTAATGACTATGAAGAAAAAGCTTGATTTTTTTAGAGGAAAGAAATTCAGTGTCAAACCTCTAAGAACCTGCTTGAAGCTTCTGATTACTGAATACTTTTGTCCTAGGTCGAGTACCCAGAGCTGTAGCATCTGTCAATCAGCATTTATTCGCATCTGATGATGTGGTTAGCTGCTGTTTGGATTTAGGTGTACCCAGCATTTCATTCCGCATTAATGGACAGCCTGTACAGGGAATGTTTGAGAACTTCAGTACAGAAGGGTTTTTCTTCCCTGTTGTAAGCTTATCAGCAGGTGTAAAGTAAGTACAACTTAATTTTAATTGTTTTCTTTGTTGTCTTGTCCAAATTCATTTATGATTTCTTCTGTTTTGTTCTGGTTTTGTTGTTTCTGCCCGACAAGCAGCTGGGAGGAAGTCAGGAAAGTGCTGATTTGTTCAGTGATGATTTCACTTAAAAGTGGAATGTGAGCCTGTAAGCAATTTGAGTAAGTCACAGTGTCTGAAAATTATTATTTTATGATTATTCAGTGACCTAGGGGAAATTAATTTTGTCTCATTCCAATTATCAGTGAAAAAAAAGCACGTTAGAAACACAGCACCAGATTTGGCACTAATTAAAATTCTCACTGGCTTTCTCAGCAGGGAGTAAAAAACCTAAATCATCACAAAAAGTGATACTATATTCAGAGTAGGAAACACAAAAACCTGATGAGAATCAGTTTTGGAATCTTGTTACTAGTATTGCCCATGCCTTACCTGTTCTGTTTCTAAAATACTGAGTTTTGAACTTACTGTAATCGGTTTTTAATTGTTATCTTACCTTTAGTGAATTCAGAAAATCTGTAGAATCAAGTAGAATAAAGGAAGGCTGGGAAAGGCTTAGTAAATCAATTTTCATTTTTTCCCTGGAAGTGACCCTGCTATGTAGCTGCATTAGTACGAAGTTTTTGAAAATGTTCATTACTTTTTTCTGTAAGAAATCTACCTGAACTGGTGTAATTATTTTTCTTCATTCTTATTTGATATTGCTTGTATATTTGTGAGAGCATTTTCTTTTGTAGTTTTTAGTACCTGATATGTATAATCTTCTGTGTCTGTTAGTATGAAAAAAAATGTTATTACATGGGAATCTTGACTTCATGAATGGAGAAGAGTGTTCTGGGCACAAACTTTTATGTCTCTACTTCTGCTCTGGTTTATCTAGTTTTTCTCTGCTATCTGTGAATTTCTCAGTCTCTGTTTCTGAGTCATCTTCATCATTCCATCATCAATTTTTCCTCTGACCCTTGTCAGAGACCTTCACTGTCTCCTGTCCTTCAGAGTTATGTTGCTGTATTTGATTTTAGGAGGGTTCTTTTTAAGGTTAAGGTCAGACAAAGTATAAGAAGTTTTTCAAATCAAAAGATTTGAACATTTCTATTAAAATAAGAGAAAAAATAAAGCCACAACCTCTTGGAGTGTTCAGGTTTGTAAAAGAGACTGTGCAGCAATAGGAAGATATAACCCGTATGGAGGTTTAGATACTGCAGTGAAGAGCAGGGATAAAACAGACCTCAGAACAAATGAGAAAAAAAAAGATCAGGTGAGATTTGCTACAATTCAGAAAAACTGAGCAAGTTGGATGGAAGCAATGAGCTATTTACCGATCTGTGACTGGCAAGGGAAGAATTGAATGAGAGGTTTTTAATTTCAATTCTTTCTTTGACTTTTGTCTGTTTAGGAAGTTAGACTTCTAGGTCTTAGGATAAAATTGACCTCCTTTATTTTTAAAGTGTTGTGATATGTGTGAGAGCTTTCCATAAAGAGACATCTAAAGTCAGAGTTGTCATCTCAAATATTTAGCTGCCTTGGGATCATTCAAATATTTTAAACAATGTATTTTTAAAATTAAATTAGGAAGTTTATGCATAATAGAATTATTCAGTAATAGTCTATTTCTTGTGAACATTGAACCATTTCAGGTATTTGTGACCTGTGCTTATGTGTACCCTGTTTGAGAAAACTTCTGTGTCTTAATTGTTCTCTTCTTTTTAAAAATGTCAGTGAAATATGCTGATCTGATAACTCTAGCATTTCTGTAGGCTTCTCATCACTCCATCACAACAAATGTAGGGGCTATTTCCTAGAGGTAACAGGGTAGGGTTTTTTTAAACTTTTCTGTGTTTGTTTATCTCTAGAGTTTGCCTACTTGAGGACCAAAGTATGAAGCTGGGCAGTTTTTGTCTCTGTTGTTTTTCCTGGTATACTCTTAAATTTATGTGAAAAACATATCTCTGAGGAGAAACAGAACACTTTAGGGGTTTATTAGGAATCTTAGTTATGCTTCTAAAGCTCATCCCAGTTGTAATATTTGGTATAATGGTGTTTGTTTGATTTAAATATTATGGTTTAATGTTTTGTTTAGGTTTTTATTTCTCTCGTGATACAACTGCCTGCCTGAGTGCACTGAGAAGTTACTTTAAAACTTTTAAGTTATATACCAATAGTCCTGATAGTATTTTTAGAGTAACAGTCCAATTTAAACTAGATTTGTGTTTCCAAATCCTTTAAATCCATTAAAAAATTCACAACTTACAACTGTTTGATTTTAAGTGAGAAACATTTAAATATGCTACTGCATTAAATGATTAGTTTTGCTTTAGCCAAAACAAATTTTCAAAAAAGAGTGGGTAGGTGATGGTGTAACTGATAGTATCTGCTCGTATAAATCCTTGTAACTCTTTCGTTTATGAAAACATGAAGTGCACCTGCATCTTTGTAGATGGTAATCAAATAAATGTTTAAGTCTCTAAATGATTTATTTATAATGCTAGTATATACTGACCATTTGAGAGTCTAACTGCTTCATTGGAAATTGCACAGAGTTCGTTTTTTGTTGGGTGGACGTCATGGAGAGTTTAAATTTCTGCCTCCTGCTGGCTATGCTCCCTGTTATGAAGCATTGCTTCCAAAAGAGAAGATGAAACTGGAACCAGTGAAAGAATATAAAAGAGATTTTGAAGGAGTGAGGGATTTGTTGGGTACAACACAATTCCTCTCGCAAGCTTCTTTTATCCCTTGTCCAATAGACACCAGTCAGGTATGTGAAATTTGCAATAATTGGACCATAAAATATATCTGTGCAAAATTTAAATTCGCACTATGAAAACTAAGGTAGCTTCCCCCTTTCTTAGCAATTCTTCATTTGTGTGTTGTGGTGTACTATCCAAACTAGACGATTTGGATATACAAGGCATGGTAACGAACCTTTTCTTATTTCTGAAATTGTTATTCTCTTTTCTTAGATTGCTCTTCCTTTTCATCTTGAAAAGATCAGGGACAAGCTAGCTGAAAACATCCATGAGCTGTGGGGAATGAATAAAATAGAACTGGGCTGGACATATGGCAAGGTATATTTTGAATGACCTGCCCGAGTACAGTCACCTGTATTAGGTTAAGTATCCTATTAGAAAACCTGGATTTGGATGTTGAATGGCTGTCTATACATTACCAGCAATAGATGAACATGTAAGGTGGAAGGAGACTGTGATATCAGCTTTTTGGTGACTTTTTTAAACATTCAAATTCCTCAAAACTTGGTTTTGTTATTTAATTATGGATGAGTACTTACAATGTGCATTATAAATGAATCATGAGAAAGTACATTTATATAGCGATGAGTAGCTGTCATTGAAAAAAGATAAATGATATTGCTTATAGTTTCTTCATTATTGCAAAGAGTTAACTGGCTTTTTTACTGTGATTCTTGATTCTGATATAAGGAAAGTACTATTTTCTGTTACTTGTTGCAGATACGAGATGATAATAAAAGGCATCATCCTTGTCTTGTGGAATTCTCAAAATTACCTGAGACAGAGAAGAATTATAATCTACAAATGTCAACTGAAACACTCAAGTGAGATTTAAATATTAAGAATATAAAGGTTTTTTTTTGTTTTTATTCAAGCAAATCATACTGTTTTAAGATATAAAAAACATTAGAACATCTCATTTAAAGTGTGTTCTGCTAACTTTGCCAGAAGTCCCAGGAACCCCTTCAGAGTGATTTAGACAAACGTTGTCTCCACAGAGATACAAAGGAAGAAACATCACCAAATCCTGTTAGTTTTAATAAAGTGTGTAACTCTCAAGCCATATGTTTGGGCCTTTTTAGACTTTGAAGGTCTTTTTTATTATTTCTGATAAGTTAAAATATTTGGGTCTTGAAATCCCATTGTTTTGAATTACTTCCCTGTTTTTTAAATATAATTTCTTCTGTGTATTTATAGTCAAATAAAAAAAAAATTACACAATGGGTGAACAGTGTAATGTTGAGTTTCAATAATGCTACTTTTTTATGTTGGCAGAACCCTTTTGGCCCTTGGATGTCACATTGTTCATGCTCATCCAGCAGCTGAGGAAGATCTTAAAAAAGTCAAACTTCCTAAAAAGTATGTATCTTATGATAATTGTTATATATTATAATGTATTATTATGAATATAAAATATTTTAAGGTCATTTAAAAATACTTAATATGAGCCCCATACTTGCTATGGTCTTACAGATCAATGGTGAGGCCGTTACCCTGCATGTGAGGATGGTTGGCTGTGAATACTGTTGTGTTACATCACTTCATGAAGTTATTCAGAGACAGAAACAGTCACATACTTAAACCACATGCAATTGTGTTACATGATCTTAAAATAGACACTCCAAAGTTAAAAGCAACATTTCAGTGTTTTTCTACCTCATGGAAAAGAACAGTTTATGAGTATGATAGTAAATTTATCTACTTGAAAGAAGGTATACCATTTTCCCATAACTTGTTTCAATTTACACCTCTCCTCTCTCCTCCAAGAAAAGGTTTGTTCAACATACACACATTTCCATAGACATTATTAATGCATTTCTTTGAGGAGGAAAAGTAGAAAATTACTGGTTTTATCATGTTGCACATTTCTTGAAAATGTACATATGTAGATTACTGTGCTAAATATACATTTTTTGCTTTAATTTCTATTTGGTAGCTAAACTATGGCAATGAGAGCTAAAAGAATTGAATATGATTTTTATTTAGTCTTCTTTAAGTCATCAGTAGTAATCATCCCAAAAATGGTGAAGATTAATCAAGGATTACATCTGTATTTTGGTGTTGACTGTGGAGACCCTGTAGTCATCCTAGGACAGATTAAAGCCCTGTTCTGCAACAAAACTTGAAGACAGAAAGAGAAATCCGTTTATCAATCCACTAGATGTATTTTTTCCTGAAACAACTTTTCAGGAAAGCTAACCTAAAAAGTTAGGTTTTCAAAGAGAGCACTAAAATATGTAGTTTTGTGATATGGGAAATGGTAATCTTGATCCAGCTGATGGCATTAATTAAAAAAAGGAAAAAAGATCTTCAAGCAGTCTATCATAATACTGGTTTAATACTATTGTCTTGTTGAAATACCTACTGCCTATATGAATTGTCCTAGCAAATGGAAATTATCTGATTTGAGCAAGAGAGATTCTGCACATGTCTAAAGAGGACATTATACAATATGGAAGGGTTGGAGAAGGTACTAGTTAGGGCTAAAAATCTACTAACCTTATTATTCAATGAAAAAGTGGGACGAACAATGGTTAAAATGTTTTCTTCTGTTGGAAAAATGGTAATGCAGTCCCTACAGAATAGTGAATTAAAATACCATACTTAATAATGCATAAAAGATAATTTCGTAAGAAGTCATCATACAGATCTTTAAAATAGAAATTATTTGAAAGGTTTAAAAGACAAATTTAAAAAAATATATAAAAATTACTCATTCAACAACAATTTTGTTGTTTTGTAGCAATCATTAAGGCATGCATATATGGATCTGAGTCACATTTAATCAGCTAGTGTGCGAGTAGGTGGAAAATGAGACTGTCAGCTAGAATCCAGTTTATATCCCAGTCAATGACCAAATGTAATGTAGGATTTTTGCAAAGAAATGGGAGAATAGGAGATAAGAAAAATGGAGAGAGAAAGTGAGCCCCAGGCCATGAATGCCACGTAGAATGATTTAAATACTATAACTGGGATATCCCTGTTTTGCCTTGTTGACTTACAGTTACGTGATGTCAAATGGATATAAACCTGCCCCTCTTGATCTTTCTGAAGTGAAATTGTTACCTTCTCAAGAATTTCTAGTTGACAAACTAGCAGAAAACGCACATAATGTCTGGGCAAAAGACAGAATAAAGCAAGGATGGACCTATGGCATTCAGCAGGTAGGAACTTCTTTAGATGCATTTGGAATAAGTAAAGAATGTGAGATTTTGTATTCCAGAACATCAGTTGGGAAGACAGCATTAAGAGGTTAAATATTGAATGTTGTGTAATATCTGGAAAAATTAGAGGGGGTGGGAAGCAGGAAAAGGAACCTTGACCATGAAAGTCTGAGTAGATTGTAAGACCTGTATGGTTGCAGCTGCAGGATATATGGGAATATATTTCCATCCTTCTCTTCCATTCTTGTCTTGCGTTATTAATAATCGAGCTTGCATTCATGGAACTCTTCTTCATCAATGCTCTGTCTCTTCTGTAATCTTAACATGATTTCAGAGTACATTCTGTCTTATTATAAAAAGTCTTTGTGTTATTTAAACAGAGTTTTCTTCTTGTTCTCTTTTATAACCCCTTTCAGGATCTTAAGAACAAACGTAATCCTCGGCTAGTGCCATATGCATTATTAGATGAACGCACTAAAAAATCAAACAGAGATAGCCTCCGTGAAGCTGTTAGAACATTTGCAGGCTATGGTTATAGTATTGAACCACCTGACCAAGAAATAGGTATGCACTTTCAAAAAGAATCATGGTCTTTTTTTCCCCACAGTGCTGTGGAAAAACATAAAATTGAAATATAGGGAAAACAGAAGATATTAATTAATAGTAGTGTATTTTTGCAGTGAATTTTAATGAAAGGTGCAAACATACTTATAAATTACTTTTATATTACTTAGGTCTTTGTTGGGAGTTTTTTTTAAAGATTGGTTGTAGTTAATGGTATGATAATTCTAATTGCCTGATTTTTTAGCTTGGAGAAAATCTGGAGTGTGAATGGGCATACTGGTTTTCGTTTGGAAAGAAAGAAAGAAAGAAAATAATATAGGTTGCATTTAAAAAGAATTATTACATGGTATGTAGATTAGGTTTGACTACCTCAGTTTTTTAAGCAGTCTTCAAAGAAGCTCACCAAGTTTAATAATTTTTTTAAATTGAAATCAGGAGCAAAAACTTGTTTAGAAGTTGTTCTTCATATTTGCTATAGCACTGTAATTTTTGACAAAAAATCCAAAATGAAACAAAACTTATTCTGTAATTTAAAAAAAATGTTTTAAATACATTGACTTCTGTAGGAAAATAATTTTTTGTATTATAATACTACATTATTGCATTGGATTGTATTGCATGTAGTAATCTTATGCTTCTGTTTCCTCTACTCAGTTTTGTGTTTGAGGCTCTGAATTGAGTGGTGCATTGAAATATGCTGATTCTACACAGCAGATGATCACTCATCCTGTATAGAATTAGAATGTGGTAGCCTTTGCATGCTGACTACTGTTACTCTTTTTGTAACATTTGCTGTGAAGTTTCTTAAACATGCAATGGTAGATGAGATAGAAAATACTGGGGACAGATGAAAAGCTAGATAGTGACATTTATAATTTAATTTTATTATTAAAAGCGGGGGGGTTTTCTCTGTTCATTTTTACAGCTGACCAAACAGTGGAAAAAGTCAGCATCGACAAGATACGATTTTTCAGAGTAGAAAAATCTTATGCAGTGAAGTCTGGAAAGTGGTACTTTGAATTTGAAGCTGTGACAGGTGGAGATATGCGTGTTGGCTGGGCCAGGCCAGGCTGTCGACCTGACATAGAGTTGGGAGCTGATGACCAAGCATTTGTATTTGAAGGAAGCAAAGTCAGTACACCTTTACCTCTTTTGACCTATGAACAGGCTAGACAGAGAACTACAGTATAGGTTTCCTCTGTATACTCCAGATCAAGTACAAGAATTTTTTCTGATTTGTAAAATACATCTCTGAGCCCTGTTTCATGTAGGATAGTATCTGCATTTTGGTTCTGTTAATTGAAATTATGCTAATAAAGATGTGTTGGTTTATATCTTCCTAGGATCTACCCAACTAATTAAAGAAGTCTGTCATAACCATAAACAAAATACAGCATTCACATCCATTTTTGTAATGTGGTGTTTTACAGAAATCAAACAAAAGGTTCTTCAATGACTGGAAGAGGGAACCACAGTTCTGTTTTCCCTTTTCTGTCTTTTCTGCATTTTGCACGTTCTTTCTTCCCAAGCTTGACTCCTAAAGGAACAGAAGGATAATAATTACACTGCATGTGAGAAGTGGAATCCAGTGAACAGGAGTTATCATCCAGGTTCTAAATTGCTGAAGTTAGGGCTTAGTTGCTTTTTGTCTCTATTATCTCTAAGACAAAAGCCATCACCAGTTTGCAAATTATTTGGAGATCCTGGAAAATGAAATGTTTGTTTTTCTTTATTTACTTTGTATTTCATTTCTAATTTTAGCACTGTGGTTATTCACTTGTTTTTCCGTTTAGGGCCAGCGTTGGCATCAAGGCAGTGGATTCTTTGGACGAAGCTGGCAACCAGGAGATGTGGTTGGTTGTATGATAAACTTGGATGACAAATCGATTATCTTTACTCTGAATGGCGAGTTGCTAATAACAAGTAAAGGGTCAGAACTTGCATTTGCCGACTTTGGAATAGAAAATGGTAATTTCCCTTTTTTAGTCATATGGTTATGGGAAGACAAAACAAAACAATGACCAGAAAAACTAGTCTGTCATAATGATTCAGTGAGCTGAGAAATGATATTTCACCGGTGTGAGCCTTCAGACTGTGCTACACATTAACTTCATAAATATTTATTTTGAGAGCGCTTCTGTGGCACCAATTGATTTTCTTTTTTTCCTTTGACCACATTAATGGGATTTCAGCAGTCAGAATGGGTAAATTTTCTTCAAGCCTTGCTCTTTGCTAGGCTTACTCTCAGGACTAAACTTCAGTACTAAGAGATGGTAGTAATAAGTATTCTGAAAAATTCTCAAAAGCTGAAAATGTAGTGTCTGATTATCTTACTGGAGCATAAATGTATTATGTTCATGTCTGTGAAGGACATAATGAGTATGTCCTTCACTATGTGGTGAGAGTCTGCACCCAAAGAACATAAGTTGAGTGATTTGTAATTTTTTTTCTTCCATCCTATTCATAGCTTATCTGAATTTGTCCTTTTCCTGGCATAATTTTCGTCTTCTGTTTTTGACCTTTGTTTTTTCTAAAAGTAGTATCTATATGACTGTAGTAAAGGAGGCAGGACATATTTTCAAACTGTTTTGCTTTATGTTTTAGTGGACATTTTTTTTGTAAGTGTAGCTTCTCCAACCAGTAGTAGCTTTATACCTGTTAGTAATGGCCAGAAGACTTTGCAGTTGCTCACTGTCCCTCTTTGATGTTATCATTGGCAGAGATTTTCTAACAGTAGAGAATGAGGGTCTGCCTTAACAAAGCTATTCTGAAAGCTTAAATTAAAGTTTGGGAGAGAAAATTTCTCCTTTAGGGGATGAACTCTTGTCTCCAAGTTCTGGTTCTTGAGAAATGGAGTGTCATGGTTTCAGCAAGGCCCAAAATCTAATTCTGATTCCTAGCCCCCCTCCCACATCTCAACCCCATGTGAGATGGGTTTTCCAGACAAAAACACGAGACTCAATATGGGGGAAGGAATATATTACAAAGACTATACACATAAATAAATACTATAATACACTGCATACAATCTTAACTCTATATCTATCTCTACCATGACAGTAATATTTACAATGGGCCAAATCTCTTCTCCCTCCAAATAAAAGTCCAGGAGAGAAGAAGAAGAAAAGACCCCTTCCAGTCTGTCAGCAGCAGGACTCTCTCTCTCTCTAGGCAGTAGGCTTTCTGTGTCTTCTCTTGTAGGCAGCAGTAGTAGTTGCTGGCTCTCTGCCAGCACACACGAGGGAGGTCTTCCAAGCCTCTCTCGGCCCCCGTCTTCCAACAGGGGGTCTTTCCATGGGCTGCGTAACCCCAGACACGGCCGCTACACCATGGTCATATCACGAAGCACCGGGGTCTTCGTGACGGTCTGGTATCCTCAGGGGAAATCAAGCCCCTGTGCAGAGCTCCCATGCTCTGCCTCAAAGATGGCTGCCAGCTTCTCTGAAGCTGGAGCAGGGGGGGCCAAGGTCACCCCCCACACACACACATTCCTTCGGCCGTCCTGGCTTATCTCTCAGGAGGCCATGAGCTTCCTAGCTCCTCTCAGCAGTGCATACTGCACTTTAGGACTCCTCTCAGTCCACCACCCCCTCCTCTTTCTCGGAGGGGTCTCTAGTGAGTTTGGGGGTTTTGGTTTGTCCAGTTCTTACCCTCCAAAACTCTGTTCCTGCTGCTGGCTCGGTTCTACTCCTGCTGCTGCTTCTTCCTTCTCTTCAGACATCTCTGTGTCTTCCATGCAGCATACCGGCTTCTGCTGCTCCTTTTGGTCCTTATCAGTTGGCTCTTTGCCACTGCTCTTCGGACGCTGCTGTGTCTACTGCTGCTCCGTCTGCTCCCAGCGTCTCCCAAGGCTGCCTACCGGGAGAAATTCTCCCAGCTCTTAGCCACAGGCACTCAGCCCAGTTCTGAGTCCCTGCAGCCCCCCAACCGGGGGCTGGGGGGGGCAGAGGCCCCCAAGGGGCCAGAGCCCCTTCTCCTCGTGGCCTCTACAACATGGCCACCTCTTCTTCTCACCACAAGAACTACTGCTTCTCCTCCGGTCTCCAGAGATATGTTTATATTTTGCAGGAGCACTGATTGGTCAAGCCCCAAGGGTCACCACCCCCTGGGGGTTACCACTTTCTTAGTTTCAGGGGGAAAACCTGGTTCAAACCACTACATGGAGAAATAGTTCAACAATCTTTCTTTCCTGTCTGTTGACTGCTATAAAGTTATATGGAGATCAAAGAGTTGAGTCATAAAAAGTACGAGCATTAAAGAAGTGTGTGTCCATTGTGAATGATGGAGGAATGAAGGCTAGCAACAATGTACTGAGATAACTAAACCTCTTCTCAAAGTCCTTTTGAAACTTCAGTGCCCTCAGAGATCATACTTAATATTTGTTAAATAACTTTGATCTAGCCAAGGTTGACTTCCAGGGTCCAACTCATTGTATAAAACCATGTGTGTTAGTCTAAAAATGAGGAAGATAAACGAATTATTTTAACAAATGACTAACTGATTTCAGCAAATATTTTCGAATATGATTGTCCACAAAACCACCTCCTGACTTCATGTTTTTTGTTTATTTTTCACACAGATCTACTACTTACTAAGAACAACTGTTTGAACTGGTTTAATATTTAAATAAATGGGATAGCGCCTAAGTCTTCAGAAATTTTGGTAGCAATTATATTGAATCTAGAAATTAGTGTTTAAAGCGGCTTTAAATCCCTGCTAATGTCATCACTTCATGTGCATTACTTGTAGGAGCTAAAGTTTAGTCCACATTAGAAGGATCCAAAATAAAAAATACTTATGTTTTTAACTAAATTACTGTTGGGGTTTTATTTTATATTTGTTTCTTTAGGTTTTGTTCCAGTTTGTGCACTGGGTCTATCTCAGATTGGTCGCATGAACCTTGGAATGGATGCCAGTACATTCAAGTATTATACAATGTGTGGCCTTCAAGAAGGTTTTGAACCTTTTGCTGTCAACATGAACCGAGATGTTGCTATGTGGTTTAGTAAACGCTTACCAACATTTGTCAATGTGCCAAAAAATCATCCTCACATTAAGGTAACATTACATGTTAGGGAGACACCTGTTTAACAAGCTGAGACATTAAACCCTTACTAATACTTACTGTCATCGGATACTTTGTCATATAAACCTATTAAGTCACTCTTGGATAATTCCAGATGATCTTGTCTATCTTCATTTTCATTTATGGCAGTATAGATTCCTATGGATATATCTGTCTTTTTTATTATATGTGTTACTGGAAACATGTCAGTTATGTTTTTTTTATATTCTATCTTACATGTACATTCACTTTTTAAACCTTCTCTACTATATATATTTCCTAAATGTGTAAAAATTGTTCAGCTGAGGTCTGAGGGCATTTAAGTGTACCTGTGGTGTTGCTGAGTGTTTTTTTCATTCTTATGATGCACCAGTTATATGAATTCCACAACTCCCTAACTAATGTACTCTGGAGTGGAATAATAATTCCTATATTTTCTATAAAATATTTGTTATTAATATATTCCAAAATGATACGTTTGAATTCCTGATAAGTTTTTTTTATTATAAACTATCTAGGCCATTTACTTTAATTTAGATATAGCCAACTATTCCTTAGTAATTCTCTGAACATTTCCTTCCTAAGTAAAATACTTTTCACTGAATTCCAACTAAATGATCTCAGCATTTTTTTCATTTTATCAGGATCATTTCAACATTATTCCTGTCTCTAATTTTTTTTAAAATGTTCCTGTAACTAAATTTGAAAACATACTCACTTTTTCAGCACAAGGGAAAGTGGCATCAGACTACTGTGATAGTTTGTAATGGCCATCTTAACAATTCTAATTGATATTTTTGCTCATTGTGGTAGAAAACTACTGATTGTTGTGAAGCAGTTTTTCAATGACTTGTGCACTCAAAGTTAATTAATTTAATAAAATATATATGAGGGGTTTTATGCTGTATAAAACAACTTGAAAATACTGTAATCAGAATATACCTAATCTGTTGCTTCCCTTGCTCTAACCCTTGCAGGTTAGATTCAATGTCAGAGAACAAAGTTGCATAGTTTTGAAGTTAATTATTTTTGAAAAATTTAAGTTGGCTCTCAGAATTTTCTCTTTCTCTAGTTGCATAATGAAAGTTTTCAGAATTTTTTTGGATAGTACTATTTTAAAATATTTCTGTTATTTTTAGATATGGAGAATTGATGGAACCATTGAAAGTCCACCTCGGTTAAAAGTTACTCACAAAACATTTGGCACACAGAACAGCAATTCAGACATGATATATTGTCGTTTGAGTATGCCCATTGAGTTCCACTCATCATTCAACTTCAGCATGGGTGTGGAAAATGCCTCATCTGATGTTTTCCAAAAACGGTCAGGCCTGGCTTTAGTTATCCTATCTCTTGCTTTCAATGTAAATGTAGTATGTTCTATTATTCTTTATTACTGTACACGCAAAATTTCATAGTTGTTTTTAAACACATAGCATAGGAGGCATGTTATTAATTTTTTTTTTATTCTTGAGGGTTTTAATTGATTTATAACCCACCTTTGCTGCAGAATGTTATATCCAGACAAGAGAGAACCATATCTAAAGAGGTGCTTCAAAAGGTTTAAAATTATTCATTTCTAAGCAGCACCTTAACTGCAATCAATTATTTTTCTTGTATATTTGTATCCTGTGCAGTCTTAGCTAATGCATAGTACGTACCCAGCAAACATTAGTTAGCTTGTAAGTATACTTAGTCTAATAATGAGCAGCTTTTTACTACCTTTTTTTTAAACTTATTTACTGATTTTTCTTTATCTGTAGAAAGCACAGCCAAGAAATTGCTGCTCCTTCTACTACAGTAAGTAAATATATTGAGATACTTAGTTCTTCAAATGCTTTGAAGTAGATTTAGTCTTGGCAAAATGTTCATTAGAAATTGATCTGTTGAAATTAGCCTTTTTAATAATTTGCTATGATATAGTAATGTTTATAAATAATGATGCCCAGAGTTGCACAACTTGAAGCATAAATCTCACCATCTTAAACCACTGTCTGCTTTTTTAATTTAAGAGCATTTTAAATTCATTTAAGAGAATGTGAATTACTATTAAAGTTCGATATATTGGAGGGTTTTTTTTAAATCACTATTTGAATATTCCTTGATAAAATTCCTTGATTTCTGCTACTAATATGCTCTATTCCTCTTTTCAGTATTTTTACTCACTAAGGATATTTGCTGGCCAAGACCCATCTTCTGTCTGGGTTGGCTGGGTAACACCAGACTATCATTTTTACAGTGAGAATTTTGATCTAAATAAAAATTGTACAGTGACAGTTACTTTAGGAGATGAGAGAGGAAGGGTTCATGAAAGGTATGCATTTATTTATCACTTATTAAATTTGTATTTTGATACTGTTGTTCAAAAGTTAATTATTTGCCAGCTTGATGATAATTTAAGCATTAATTTAAACTAATGAGAAACTTGGTTATGAAGTTTGGGTTTTCTGTGCTCATTTATATATGAATGTTTTATATGTAGATCTATAGTGAATATATTTATCATTAATATTCCATTAGAAGGAATGTTTTGTGATGTTTCTTTCATTTAACGTCTGTATTTACTCACTGTGGATAAACTTGTTTGTTTTACTGTATCTTATATGTGCACACAGAGGCCTGTGAAATTTTTTCAAAATTTTAAAATAGGAAAAAGAATTTATTTAGTCTGATGCATATATTACAAAAAAAAAATTTGTTAATGAGCAAAAAAACTTATAGCACAACAAGCACCTTTGTGGATCTCTATTACTCCACTGAAAAGTACATCTTCACCAAATATTGAAGTGCAGTGTGACCTATGCTTTGTTCTTGCTGTTCTTTCAGTGTGAAGCGCAGCAACTGCTATATGGTTTGGGGAGGAGATGTAATTGCTAATTCCCAGAGATCAGGTCGCAGTAATGTTGATATAGAAATTGGATGCTTTGTTGACCTGGCTACTGGAATGGTGTCATTCACAGCCAATGGAAGAGAACTTGGCACTTGTTATCAGGTATTAACAGATTTTCAGAAAGCTATCTAGTTACCTGCTGATTTTGATGTTATTTTTCCAGATATCTAACCGAACACCATTTGTGTGACAATAACATGTTTTCCTATATCATTCTGATTTTATCCCTCTTTTTCTCACTCTCTGTGCTACAAGGCTACATTTTTTTGAGCTTCTTACAGTTGTTTCAAGTGTTGAGGAAGGACTATTGGTAGATATGTTCAGAGAAATATTTTTTTTAACCTCTCAGTTCATGTGATACAGAATCTTGATTTATAACCTTAAATCTTGATTTATAACCTTATTCTTTAAAATATTTTTTGTCAACTGAATCTGTTATACAATATAGGGGAAGTAAATATTTAAATTAACATAAGGTTGAAATTAAACTATAAGTGTTGTAATTTTTGGTATTAATTGAGAAAAAAAATTCAGTTCCTTATTACCGTGGTTTGTGTCTTCTTCAGATAGCTGTGATTTGGAGATCTTGTGATTTGCTAAATTTCAAAACCTTAAATTCAAGTATGCATTAATGCACAAAGCCAAAGTAAATGGAGTGGGCCCTAAATGCTATCAATATGCTCAAAATGAAAAGTCATTATGCAAAGGGATCAGTAGTTGACTGAAGCTTTCAGCACCAGGTTATTGAGATTTGCTCTTAGTAAGATCAGTTGTCCATAGTAGAGCATCCACTGTGGAAGCTGACCAGCGTTAGGAACAATTCATCCCTTTCTTCAATGTCACCCCCCAAATCCAGATAAAATTGAAATGTTATCTAACTAAATTTAATGGAACTTATATACTGACTCCATTGAAAATGAATGTGGCAGGGTGGCACATAGCCTGTAAAGGGGGGTGGGAGATCATCTAGAAGCTGTGATTTTGCTATATTTTGTAATAGTGGTCAGAAACTTCCGTGCCACACTGGGAGGATATTGAATGTCAACATCCTGGGAAAAAACCCCACACAATTAAAGTGCTTAAGCCCTGTTTTGTTGTTTTTCTAACTAGATGCAAATTAATATGACAACTTCCGAACAAAACCATTCAATGTTGGTGTGGTTTTCTATTTGTTTGTTTTTTTCATGGACAGAATTTAGCTGTTCTTATTTTGTAAGGAGATCTATGGAAAGACAGATGTAGAAGAGGCCTGTTACTGAATTTAGTGTAGAAAACACTTTGGTTTTTCCTCATATGACTTGCATTTAATATAACCACGTTCTCTGTATTAAATTTAAAATTATCTCAGAGAATACCAATATTTCTCTTTTGTTCCTTCTCTTTGTCATGGAAAAATACCTGGAGTTGCTTTTGGAATTGTTTTTCAATAAACACGATAAATGAGAAAAGTCAGCACTTTTTATAGAGGTAAAACAGTATATTCCAACAGGATTGTTAAGTCTGAGGGTGAAATATTACTCATTTTTTGCTTATTTTGAGTAATTTAAGTATTTTCTGTGGTTTTGAAAGTAGTGAGAATAGTGTTATGTAATTTCCCTTTCTTGAATATTTTTACCATAAAGTACAATCTTTAAAATATTGTAATAAATCTAATCACTTGCCCAAATTGCCACAAATAACTGATATTTGTCTGGTCTAGGTAATTATTCTAGTTGTATAAGTGTTTGCACTTCTTAGCTTTCTTAACTGAAAGAGGACAATATTTGTATGCTGTTTTCATTTTAAAAGGTCTATGGGTCAACACATTGAGGAGATAAAATGAATTTTGCTGTAGTTCCTGATTTAACTATTGAATGCCATGCTGATATTCAGGAAAACAAAACAAAACCAAACCACTAGAAAGGTAAAGGGAAGATATAATATACATATATATTTGAGATTTTGTCATTAATTGTCAGGTCAGAGTTAAAGTATTTGTAGCAGAAAGGAGATCTTAAATATTGGTTTAAAGATGTTTTATTTTACTTTTTTAGTAATAGTTCTCTGATCCTCAGACATGGCTAGAAATTACAAATTCAATTATTATTACTAGGAAATAGCTATCTTCGGTCAGAGGCTGAGAGTTATATTGTCTCAGCTATCTTCAGACTTTAATGAAATAATAGGCACATAAGTAATGTCTTGCAGTCCAGGATGCCTTTTGTTTCTGGATTTGAGGTTGTGGGTTTTTACTTATCAAAAAGTTTGGAATGTACATGCCTAGCCCTATGCTATTATTTCTATGCCAATAGTGATAGTATTGAAAAATCTTTATTTTGCATATGTTTTTTTCAGTATAGGGTATTATTTTGCATTTTGTTTAAATTATATTTTGTTTTGGAGCTGTTTTCTCATCCAAAAGAATATGTATTTTTTAATTTCATTTTTTGACTCTCAGTATGTATAACGTATATGTGTATACATGGTACACAAAATGCATAATGATATGAATAATATATTTCATTGAACTTTTGAAACTTTGACTCAATTGTATGGATGTACTTTTTTCAGCTACCCTGGAGCACTGACATTCTTTAAATAATATACTAATCTATAATTATATTTTAATAATATAATAATTATAAATATTTGTATTTATAATAGAAACACATGTTACAATTTAATATTTATATTATAAATAATCTTTATTTCATGGCAGTAGTGGTGGGGGATCTTGTAGAGAATTCTTTGGAATAAACTGGTCTTACACTGACATGCACTTTTAGTCCAGCTGTAACGGGGAAAGAAGGATAACATAGCAGTCATAAAAATCCCAAACACAACCAGACACTTTAAAACTGTAGCACCATGATTCAGTGTGATTCACTGCGAATTTGTAAGACTGGAGACAGATGCTAAGCCTGAAAATAAAGAGCTCTTTAAAAAGATTACATTATTTTACTTTTAGAATATGTATTAGAAAAGCATTAATCTTGAAAGGAAATAAAGATTTGCACTATCCTAATCACATGTGCTCTCACCCTCTAGTATAAAAGGTCGAGTCTGGCTATTTTTGAGAAGAAACCACACAGTGTTCTTGCTAGAGGTGTTGACAGCACATAAGACAACAGACACACCTGTCTGAAAATCAGGTGATCCTGTAAAGATAACTGCAAATGCTTTACTATATTAGAGGTGAACTACAAGTAGACACTATTCACCACTTTAATAAAGTGTCTGGATCCGTTTGATAATACAGTGTAAGCCATACAGAATTTATTTTATATCATATTCAGGGAGGAGATTATTTTTGCATTTTTAATTTTTAAAACATTTCAATTTCATCTCATTTCTAGGTTGAACCAAACACGAAGCTCTTTCCAGCAGCTTTTTTACAGCCTACAAGCACTAACTTGGTTCAGTTTGAACTTGGTAAATTAAAGGTAGGAAATATTTTTATATTTTATAAAAAGAGAACCTTCATGTAAAGGTGCTCTTTTAAATCTGTTTATTCTTATGCAGATTCCTGCTCACTTGAATTTGTTTAGGAAAATTGAATCAAGGGCATGAATCTTAATTTGAATTCTGTGTTTACTTCCGTAAATGTAATTAGATATGCAGTTAATTGTTTATCTGCATTTGTCAAAATAAACTCATATTGTTTGAAGAGAACACCATTAATGTTGAGGTTATGTAATGGATTTTGTTTTTTGTAATAACGTCTATCTTTTTATGATTTCTTTGCCATTTGTAAGTTATACTTCCTTTTAATGCTATAGGTTTATTTATAATTAAACATTACAAAAATATTTTAATACACTTCTTTGTTTCAGAATACCATGCCTTTATCAGCAGCAATTTTTAAAAGTGAAGAAAGAAATCCTGTTCCTCAGTGTCCCCCTCGCCTTGATGTGCAAACAATTACACCTGTTTTATGGAGCAGAATGCCAAACAGCTTTCTAAGAGTAGAAACTGAGCGTGTCAGTGAACGTCATGGCTGGGTTGTGCAGTGTTTGGAACCTCTGCAGATGATGGCACTTCATATCCCAGAAGAAAACAGGTACATTTGTAAGGAAATAAAATTACTTAATGTGGATGAAGTATATTGAAACCAGGTGTCAGAGTATTGATTAAACCTGCCTTAGAGAATATTTACACCATAGTTGTTGAGAATTTCTCTTCTTATCTGCTATAACAATAATTAAGCAGATAAGATCAGAAAATTTAAGTACAAGAGACTAAACTTTAATGCCAAGTGATGACTTTTGCATACATGAAAGAAAAAGTGGCTATTTGATTTTATTTAAATTATAAAGTAACTTACCCTAAATCTCTAGATCTTTCAAGATCTATACAAAAATCTTTAAAGATTTTTCTCAGCCTGAAAAAAACAAATATAAAGAACATGCAAGTACTAATTTGCTGATTTTTTCCTGTAATAGAAGCATGTAATCTGTTCCTGTATCATCTGCTCTGAATTTACATGAATTAAGTTTTTATGTTCTTATTGACAAGGTCACACCTTTCTTAGATTTTCATTAGGTTTTATGTTCAGAATGAGGATAAAAAAGATCTGTCCAAGTATCAAATATCATAACCAGTGAAAAATCAAACTATCAGCAAAAGCATAGCAGAAAGATAATTTAACTACTGTACTTTAATCAGTTATTTTTAAATTTCTTTTAATAATTCAATAAAAAACTTAATTTATTGTTCATGAAACTGAATTCAAGAAAAGATTAAAAAAATACTGTGTCTTGTGGAAAAAATGAAACCATAATCCTGAGTAAACTAGAAAGGCACAGTTTAGTGACAGTAGTAACACAGGTTTTCAGCATTCCAAATATATTTATTTTAAAAACAAGTTCTAATTTACCATAGATTTCAAAAAGCACCTACACCTTCCATTTTGGGTTGTTTTTTTCATAAGGAGTACTAATTTTAAACAATCTCAATAGCCACCATTTACTGTGTTTGGACAATGCACATACTAAGACTAGTTACTATTAATTTAATACTAGTGGTTTTAAGAGGAACTGACCAAAATGTGAGAGATCACAAAACTTTTCTTTTACAAAGTTATTATTCATGGGATTGATTGGTTTCCTCTTTCTTTATTTTCTAACAGATGTGTTGATATTTTGGAACTATGTGAACAAGAAGATTTGATGAAGTTTCACTACCACACTTTAAAACTCTATAGCTCAGTTAGTGCTCTAGGTAACACTAGAGTTGCTTATGCACTTTGTAGCCATGTGGACATATCTCAGCTATTTTTTACAATAGATAATCAATACTTACCTGGACTTCTACGTTCTGGATTCTACGACTTGCTCATTAGTATTCATTTGGAGCATGCCAAGCAAGCCAAGCTCATGATGAGCAATGAATTTATCATTCCAGTTACAGATGAAACTCGAACTATTAAATTGTATCCCAATGAAACAAAGAAGCATGGTTTACCTGGAGTAGGGCTTAGCACTTGCCTGAAACCAGCCTTTAATTTTTCTACTCCATGCTTTATTGCGACCACTGAAGAACATCAGACATCCAGTCCAGAAATACCCCTTGAGACACTTAAATCCAAGGCCTTAAGTATGTTAACAGAGGCAGTACAGTGTAGCGGTGCTCATATACGAGACCCTGTTGGAGGACAGGTTGCATTCCAGTTTGTTCCTGTTCTTAAACTGATAGCAACATTGCTCATAATGGGTGTTTTTGATGATGATGATGTGAAGCAGATTTTACTCCTCATTGATCCCACTGTGTTTGGAGATCACAAGGAAGAAACAGAAGAAAAAATAGAGAAGGAAGAAGTTACAAAAGTAGAAGAAAAAGCTGTAGAAGCTGGGGAGAAAGCAATAAAACAAACAAAAGCTCCTGCAAAGGGCTTATTGCAGACAAGATTACCAGAATCTGTTAAGCTTCAGGTGACCATTTAATATAAATGTATTACTTATGTTCTACTCTTGATGGAAAAAGGATTGTGCTTTTTGTCTGTTCTCTAGTTTAAAAGAGTTGAAATTCTGAAGGTCTTTAATTCCACTTTGCCTTATAACCATATGTTAATAACCAAGTTTAATGTTGCTGCAGTTCTTCTATACTCAAAATAGATAAGTTAATACTTACTTATTTTGTAAAAATGAAAGAGTTAGACCAAGTGATCTTTAAAGGACATTCCAAGCCAAACTAGTGCATGATGTCTACATATTTTGGGTGCACGGAGTGAAAAACTGTGAATGTAATGTAGTATTATTGATCAGATAATGAAACTGTACCAATATTTTTTCACCTTTACATTGTTAAAACAAAAATGTGGGAAAAATGTGTCTAATTTTTACAATCTGATGCAGTGTATCTGCAATTCACTGCAGTTCTTCCCCAGAGTTTTTAAAACAATTAATCTTAAGTCTTTTTTTTCCTACCTTAGATGTGTCACTTACTCAATTATTTTTGTGACTGTGAACTACAACATAGAGTGGAAGCAATTGTGTCATTTGCAGACCGTTACGTATCAAAATTGCAGTATAATCAGAAATACAGGTACAATGAACTCATGCAAGCCTTGAACATGTCTGCTGCTTTGACAGCCAAGAAGACTAAAGAATTTCGGTCTCCTCCTCAAGAACAGGTAATACTAAATAGATGGTTGAATTAAAGATTAAATAAATTCTTTATGATGATAAAATAGAGTCCTCACTTATAAACTACCATTTGAATTGCTGGAGAATCAAAATGAATTTGAAATAAAATTTGTTTTGTGCCACAAAATGCTGAATGTCAGAATGCTTAAGCCTCTACTCTAGAATTTAAGCTCTAAACCAAAGTAATTTCTCAACTTTTCTACTTAGGATTTCTCAACAGCATGGAAAATTTGAATATTACTGTCCAGTGCTGAGGAGCTTAGATTCATCTAGTACTGTAAGATGATGATAATCTTAGTTGCTCAAAGTTAGCATGAAGTTAGTGTTGAACTGACATGTGTATGTTAGAAATATTTTTTTCTGCCCCTAGGAAATAGTCTTATTATCCAGTGTCCCTGTAGAATTATAGAATCATTGAATTGTCAAGATTGAAAGAGACCTTTAAGAACATCAAGTCAAACAGTCCACTCAGCACTACCACTGCAACTCTTAAACGACTGAATCACATCACCCAGCGCCAGATCCAGACGCCTCTTAACCTATTCCAACCTAGGCAACCTATTCCAATGCCTGACCACCCTAACAATGAAAACATTTTTTCTAATATCTAATTGAATCTCCCCGTCTCAGCTCAAGGCAATTTCGTCATGTCCTCTCATTGCAGACATGGTAGAAGAGACCAGGCCCCACCTCACTACAACCTCCTTTCAGGTGGTTGTAGAGAGCAAACAGGTCCCCTCTTAACTTCCTTTTCTTGAGACTAAACAAACCCATCTCCCTCAGCTGTTCCTCACAAGACGTATTTTCTAGACCATTCATGAGCCTTGTTGCCCTTCACTGGACATGCTCCAGTATCTCCATGTCCTTTCTAAAGTGGAGGGCCCAGAACTGAACACAGTACTTGAGGTGCAGCCTCCCTAATGTTGAGTACAGAGGATGATCATTACCACAGTCCTGCTGGCCACACTATTCTTGATACATTTTCTGTATTGGTATGCTAATCATAATTAAAGCTTACAAAGTATCATTGCTTGAGTATTTCCTTTAAACTGTATAAGAAATTCGTGCTTTATTTTAATTTGATTATAAACAGGTAAAGTATGGCTATATATCAGAATATGTCTTAGGCTATCTCAGTGTTTTAACTATGTTTTAATTCCCTTCAAGATTAATATGTTGCTGAATTTTCAACTGGGAGAGGATTGTCCCTGTCCAGAGGAGATTCGGGATGAGTTATATGAATTTCATGATGACCTTCTAATTCACTGTGGTGAGTCGCAAGGTTTTGATACAGGTTTTGTTTGTCTTTTTGACACTTGACAGATCAGTTTAAAAATACACAAGTATAAGGGGGTTTTTTTTGTTAGATGTATTACTGTCTTTGTTCGCGAAGCCTAGCCATGATGATTACTGTCCACAAGGTGACTTTCTTGACAGACTTTGGTGTATATTACAAAAATATGGGAAACTTGTGCATGGTTTTAAGTTTCATTGTTATATAGCTATTAAATATTGTCCAGTATTATTCTGTTTATATATCAGTTTTAGACGTCATTGGGGAAAATAAATGTTTCAAACAAGAAGGTTGGATTACCTTAAAAGATTTACATAAGGACATGTATGAGTGCAAGCATATAATACGTATTGAGGGAACATAATTGCTGTGAAGTTAAGCTGTAGAAAATTTGAGGAAAAACACTAGATGTGAGGTGCTGTGCCTGTTTTAGCTTGGTTTCCTGGTGTATACGTAACTGTGAGAGTCAATCATTATAAAACACTGTTGCACTGCAGACTACAGCTTGAATTGCCCCCAGTCATTGAATTTGGATTTCCTGTGCGATTTTATGTGGGTTTTTTGATGTCAAAAGTCTTTTGTTAGTCTACTGAGATCTTAGTCTAATCCAGACAATGATGGACTTATTAGCCCATTTACTAGCGTAAAGTCTGAATCATCCAGTTATTACTGCTCCTTCTCAGTAATTATTCAGATAAAACTGATACACTTGGTAGATATATTCATAGTTACTCTTCTGGTATGTTTCTTGGTCCTATGGTTGATGGCATCCATCTTGTCTAAAAAGAAGGGGCCAGGGTCATTACAGTGAATTGATAGCATCTCAAACTCTTCCCCAGGAAGAGCATGGTAATCCTAACAGTTCCTCCTTGTCCTCCTGTTTGCTTGAGGTCATCATTAAATGTTTACCAATGTAGTCTGCTAGTTCTTTCTTCTTTGGCTATCCCTAAAACCAGTGTTACCTGGTTCATGGAATTACATGGTTTTAATGACCTGTAATTAAGTTTCTGCCTTCTCTTTGTAGCCATGGTGCCTCCAATACCATTCTGTGCTTGTATTGTTAAGGCTTCTGCTGTTATTTTGCACTAATATATCTGAGTACCCCCGTAGAATCTCTGGCAGCCATCAAGCTGTGATTTCGTGATAAGCCAATTTTCATTTTTCAACTATCTCAGCCTTAGCCTCAGCCAAAGATGAGTGGGTTAGCAGGTATCTAGGTTGTGTTTTATCAGCTTAGTTCTGAGGATATTGTATAAGACAGTATTAGAAGTCCTTAAAATCAAGATTTGTATCTGTAAGGTTAGCTACATTACAGGCAGAACTTTAGTTGGTTTAACATTATTTGGTTTTGACAATCCTGTGTTAATTGTTATTCATCCTTGCTTCTAAGTGCTTACCAAAAACATTTCTTTTATTCCATCATTTTTCCAAATGTTAAAGTGAATAGTTAATATCCTCATAGATACTCCTCTTTCTCCACATTTTTATTATGTCTATCGTTGTAAAAGATTACTGTCATCTCCATTGCTCAATTACACAGCCCTTGATCTAACCTCCAGTTTTCAAAAATAATGTTCCTTTGGCAGCAGAGAGTTTTCTGAGACTCCAGGATGGAGATTATGGAAGACCTACAACTTTCTTGGAAATGTCTTAACTCTGTAATCTATTTTTCCTTGGAATCTTGTGACTGGTAGGATCATTGAGTTAGTTTAGCTCCTGATCACTCTTCATCTTTTCATAAGGTGAAACACTAGTTATTTTATGTGTTCAGTTTATTCTTTTTAGGGATGTACTTTTATTATTTTTTACTACCTTATAAATATATATGCTGAATGAAAAAGAGTTGAAGATAGAGAAAACACTGTCTCGTGATTAAAATAGCTTAAAGATCCTATGGATTCTAAACAAACCCATATTCATTACTTTGTACAGAGATTTACCATAGGTGGTCACTGCGGATAAATGTTCCTCGTTATCTGTGGCCTGACTTGGTCATGAAAATCAGTACTAAGCAATCACAGCTGCAGATAAATGAGAAGGAGGTTTGCTTGGAATGTTTAATCAGCTTTCAGCTACTAAGTATACTTTTCCATCTAAGTGGAAAAATATGTGGGCAATCAAGTAATTAAAGGCTTCTTCATAATGAATATAAGCAAATACTCTGAATTAAAGTTCTCAGGCAGTCTTAATCCTAGCATGTCCTAACTCTGAGTATTTAATTTTCCTGGCAAAATAAGAGCCTTCTATCATAACTTTTATGTGTAATTTCTTGGTTAAAAAAAAACAACCAAAAAATTTACAACATATTTTGTTGAATAATATAAAATTCACACTTATTTGGGTTCAACTGGAGTTGCAACTGGCCAGAAATGTGGGGAATAATAAAAAAAGTTTTCTCAAACATATTAATGGCAATAGGCAATATATCATCAGAAATATCATCAGTCCATTACAGGATGAGGATGGTCACCTCACAAACAGGAACAGAGACAAGGCAGAGGTATTTAACACTTATTTTGCCTCTGTTTTCAACACAAATGATGGACCAAGGGGATCTCAGTGCCCTGAGCTGGAGGACCATGACTGCGAGACTCATCAACTCCCAGTTGACCCTGAAATTTTGTGGGATCTGCTGCTGCAGCTGGATCCCTACAAATCTATGGGGCTTGATGGGATTCAGGAGCTGCTGATATCATCACAAAACCTCTCTTGATGATTTTTGAGCAGTCTTGGTAATCTGGAGAGGTCCCAGCTGGCTGGAACTTGATGAACGTTCTCCCAATTTTCAAGAAGGGCGAGAAGGAGGACCCTGGAAACTACAGGCCTGTCAGTCTCACTTCAGTGCCTGGTAAAGTTATGGAGAATATTATTCTGGGAAGTATTAAGAAACACCTGAAAGACAATGCAGTCATTGGTCACAACCAGCATGGCTTCAGGAGAGGAAAGTCATGCCTATTCCACCTGATTTTATTTTATTACAAGGTAACCTACCTAGTTGGTCAACGGAAAAGAGTCGATGGAATCCTTTTGAATATCAGTAAAGCTTTTGATACTGTCTCATATAGTATGTTTTTGGACAAAACATCCAACCTACAGCTGGATAAAAAAATCATGTGGTGGGTGAGCAATTGGCTCACAGGTTGAGCACAGAGGGTAATAGTGAATGGGGTAACAACAGACTGGTGACCTGTCACTAGTGGGGTTCTACAGGGCACCATCTTGGGCCTTGTGCTCTTCAACAACTTCATAAATGACTTAAATGAAGAGAGACCTTGACAAATTAGAGGACTGGGCAATCATCAGCCATATGAAGTTCAAAAAGGGGAAGTGATGGATTCTGCACCTGGGATGGGGCAACCCTGGACGTACATACAAACTGGGG